ATGTACCTGTGACATTAGTAGTTAGAGCATTTGTTTTTTATAGCACTTGCTTAGACTATTAACCTGCATACATACCAATTAATTTTTTTCCTCCTAAGGCTTTTATTTGTAAATATTCCAGCCATGGCAAACAAATGAGGTTAGCGGTCTGCTCTTTGATGATCACACTGAAGAATATGTGTGACTCGCTATTGAGAAAGGCAATATAAATGTCTAGCTGGTAGATTTGTGGTTTACGTTCCCCAATGTGTTCTGTGTGGTTCACACTATTGCATTCCAGCTTGTGTGGATCCAATCAGAAATCAATCTGAATAATATATTAGGCACATCAGATAAACTAATTCTCTTTAATGCATAGTAAACATCCATTTACTTCATTAGACAACTCTTTGCCCTTTAGTTAAGAATCCATGCATGCAATTACTCTTAAATAACAGCAAATAGCAAAGTAACTAGAATGTTAAATGAAGATGCAAAACTAATTGAATATGAACTATAGAGGGTGAGGGATTTGTTGCGGTCAAGGGAGGGAAGAGTCTTGGAACACCTAAAAGACTAATGAACTCATTGTGGCATAAGCTTTCATAGCCCAAAATACAATTTGTCAGGTACATGAATAGGGAAGTGCTCAACTAAGTAGGTACGAATGTATATCTCGAGTACAGATAGAAAAAGAAAAAATGTTTTAACAAAGTGACACCGAAAGCTAAAGGATTAAAGAGAGAGAGACTGCATTTGTACATCACAATAAACCACTGCTAATGGCATGCCATGAATTAATAGATCACATCCCCCTTACATACAAAATGGGGGTCATGTTTTGTTTTGTTTTGTTACAAACAAACCACAATCTGAAGCCAAGGTTTGTTCTTGGCTTAGCAATCATGGTCTAGATGCAGGGGTCAGCAAACTTTTTCAGCAGGGGGCTGGTCCACTGTCCCTCAGACCTTGTGGGGGGCCAGACTATATTTGGGGGGAATGAATGAATTCCTATGCCCCACATATAACCCAGAGATGCATTTTAAATAAAATCATGCATTCTACTCATGTAAAAACACCAGGCAGGGCCCACAAATAACCCAGAGATGCATTTTAAATAAAAGGACACATTCTACTCATGTAAAAACACGCTGATTCCCGGACCATCCGCGGGCCAGATTTAGAAGGTGATTGGGCCGGATTCGGCCCCCGGGCCTTAGCTTGCCTACCCGTGGTTTGGAGCAAAACATACTACAACATCCAAGCTGGAAATAAAGATAAGACAAAGATTGCCATTTGTTGCTCCCACTGACTTGTGGGGAGAAGCAAAGCAGGAGCAATCTGTGCATTCATGGTAAACCATTATCCATGGCTTACCACGATGTGAAAACTCAGACAGTGTCAGCGTTTCCTGAATTTAGCCATTATTTAATATGGTCTTTCTCTGAGTAGCCACCACTGAATACAAGCTGGAAAATGAATGGGTAGGTTAAAAAAACATCGCACTAATGCTCTCTGAAAACATGAAAATGACCTAAGAGCAAGAAATTGAGTAAGTGGGTATGTTGGCATACACGGTTAAAACCCTTTAGATTAGAGTTTACAATACATATATAAACATCTGGATCCTACCTTAACTCACAAACCATAGAACAAGTTTCTGCCATTCTCTCTCTCTCTCTCTCTCTCTCTCGTGTGTGTGTGTGCGTGTGTGCGTGCAAGAAAGGGAACATGCTAGGCTGGAAAACTGCAAGCCAGCACATGAAAGAACTGAGGAAATGAAGTTGGACCGTAATATTTTCAAGGAGTGCAGTATATCATTCTTTTTTTTTAAGCTGCTCAAACCTGACATGACTCGTGTGCTTTGCATTTTACTGCGGATTGGGAGTCAGTGAAGATATATTGCAGCTGGCATCTCTCCAGGTTTGGGAGCTATGGAGAACTGATGCAAAGCAGCTCTACACAACACATCCAACATGTCCTCTAGCCTGGTTCCTTGTTCAAGGTGATACAGTGATTTGGAAAATATTTTACAACATTTGTTAGATGGAATGGAAAGGACTCCCTCGTTTTATTGCTCAGACTAATTTGAGGGCCAATATTTATTCAATAACATACTCAGCAAATGCAGGAGTTCATTTGTTGAGGTGGAATTCACAGAGCTCGTTTACACAACATGGCAAGCCAAATTAGGTTTCCTGAAACTCTGCAAATGTGTGGGCACCCAAAGAGGAGCCTGGGAACACTTTGCTCCTCAGTCATTTTTACTGCTGCACTGCACTGATTCTGCTGAAGTTTCATTCCAATTCCAATTTGTTGTTGTTTAGTCGTTTAGTCGTGTCCGACTCTTCGTGACCCCATGGATCAGAGCACACCAGGCACTTCTGTCTTCCACTGCCTCCCGCACCTTGGTCAAACTCATGCTGGTAGTTTTGAGAACACTATCCAATCATCTCGTCCTCTGTCGTCCCCTTCTCCTTGTGCCCTCCATCTTTCCCAGCATCAGGGTCTTTTCCAGGGAGTCTTCTCTTCTCATGAGGTGGCCAAAGTATTGGAGCCGCAGCTTCATTATCTGTCCTTCCAGTGAGCACTCAGGGCTGATTTCCTTAAGAATGGAAAGGTTTGATCTTCTTGCGGTCCATGGGACTCTCAAGAGTCTCCTCCAGCACCATAATTCAAAAGCATCAATTCTTTGGCGATCAGCCTTCTTTATGGTCCAGCTTTCACTTCCATACATCACTACTGGGAAAACCATAGCTTTTACTATACGGACCTTTGTTGGCAAGGTGATGTCTCTACTTTTTAAGATGCTTTAAGATTCCAATACAGTCAGTTAAATAGATTATATTATTATTTTTTAAAAAATAAAATAATATAATGTATCTGAAGGCAGGAGGAGTTCAAGTTTGGATCCCAGTCAACTTCAGAACTATCACACTAAATCAAAAGATGGGCTTGAATCCTAATGCCTGAAAATATTGTTCCACTGAAACAGAATGGCTTTCCTACTTCCCTTCTCCCCTGAAAACCCTAAGCAACACCTTCCAAAAAGGTGATCTTGGAAGACACCAATGGATCCAGGGCTTTGAACTGGTTAAAAGCAACATGGGCTGGTTATCTGGTAATAATCAGTGGGAGTTACTTTTAATTAGGCATATAGCACATCTGCCATAGAAGAGCAGGTGGCAAAGAACCGTTACAGAAGGTGGGGTTTGCAGCAAATTTATTTAAAAGTGTCAAGAGTCAGGCACTGCAACTGTAAGCATGCTTTCTCAATCCATAACAGGGGCTCAATCCATAACAGAAGTGTTTAGAATTGCAGCTTGACTTCACTTTGAGGCGAAGATGACTGAAAATAAAGCAAATTACAGAATGCTGGAAAAAAATCATTGCACTCATATGCACTTACCTGGGAGTAAGCCCCATTGAACTCAGCAGACCTTACTTCTGGGTAGATTCTGAGAGATTGTGCTTTTAGTAAACTTAATGAAAATTTATTATTATTATTATTAAATTTATTTACACCCCGCACATCTGGGCAAAAATTTAAAGGCAATATAGCATTGTGCCAATTTGCACATTCCTATTAATGGTAATTGCAATATGTATCTGGCTGGCTCTTAATCTCCAGGATATACTGTACTCAGTCTTATTATCAAATGTTGCCTCCCTTTGTCAGTCCAACAGAAGGCTCAAAACAAAACAGAAGCAGAGCCAAATGGTATTTCAAGTAGATTCCCTGCAGGACTGCCTCAGTTGTTCTTTTTTAATTGTGGGCCAGTCCTAAGCAGTGCCAAAGTACTATTGGCATATTGAGTAATGAGGCTACTCAGAGTGCTCTGTTACCTGTTCAATAATGATCATATTACACTTTAGCAGATTTTAAAAACCAGGAGGCTTAAAGAACATTTTGCTTCTATCTGAAATAATAAATAGAAATCCCCTTGGTAAATAACATGGTGTGTTCTCTGTTTGCCCTTCCTGCTGTTTATACCTATTCTGATTTACCGTATTAATCTTGTAACCTATACATTATCCTCTCACAGTTGTTTTCTTTAAAGTTACCAAGTCAGCACAACGCCACAGCTTCATTTTATGATTACGTTATTTATATACCTCAGATGCAAGTGTCATCATGCAAAGCAGGTTTGACACTAAACAAAATTTTGGTGCAAATGAAGTGAATTGCATCACTTCATTTGCAGGTTGACCAAAATAAGGTCCCTGCATTTTGCATTTAAGTTTATGAGCAAAACCCATGGGAGGTGCAGCAGTGCTCAACTAACCTTCAGTTGGTTGTGTCACTGGGAGATAGACAGGGAGAGCAAAGGGGTGGCAAGGTGAGTGTAATGCACCAGTCAGTCTGGCACTCCTGCCAATTTGTGTACCACGCCAATCTCGGCGTTGCCTTGCCCCCTCCCTCTCCCTCCTGGTAAACCACAGTGATGCAACCAACCAAAGGTCAGGTAAATGCCACCACCCAACCACTCCACCTGCTACTGGTAAAACCTCCAACTTACAAAATATGTCCTTTCTGTTACGTATCTTGTTTTAGTTTTTTTTCTGGATCAACTATGGAAATCAACTGTGTTACATACAGTGGTACCTCGGGTTACAGATGCTTCGGGTTACAAACTCCGCTAACCAGGAAGTGGTTGCTCCAGATTAAGAACTTTGCTCCAGGATAAGAACGGAAATCGCACACCAGCAGCGCAGTGGCAGCAGCGGGAGGCCCCCATTAGCGAAAGCACGCCTCAGGTTAAGAACCATTTCAGGTTAAGAATGGACCTCTGGAACGAATTAAGTACTTCACCTGAGGTACCACTGTATCTTTGCAGCCACAAAGTCTTGCAGGGTCCACTTTGGTTGTCCATCTGTTATATAATTTAAAAGTGCATGAATTATCTGCAAATACCAAGGGTTTTTCTAAAACAAAGTTAATAACAATTTCTGACCAGAAAAAACAAAAATGCAGGCCAAGCCCCACATCATAGATCCTTAACTCACCAGTATCACCAAATCCTTCCTGTACCAGTACTGTGGAGTCTAAGACCCGGAACATCAGTTTTGGTTGAATCAGTCTCAATTTTAACTCTAAAGAAACACAACATAAAGGTGTGAAAGCAACTTTTAACTGATTGAGCTGAATGGGACTCCCCAACGCCCTATTTTATTTGTCTCAGAGATCCTGAACATCCAATTTACAACAAATCAGACCTAATGTTCCAGGTAATTTTAAGTGTGATCAGGGTACAAAAGGATGTTGAATAGTTGTTTGGTACATTTTTAAATTTTTTTGGGCTGTATTTTAATATTTGCCAAGTTTCTTGAATACTTTCTCGTTGCTCTTTAAACATTCTATTAAATGTATGCTATTTTCCAAGTTGTAGCCAACTTCTAATTTGGCAATCTCTCTGAGAAGACTGGAGATAGTGAAGAAAATGCCCAACATACAGTATATACCGTATTTTTCGCTCTATAGCACGCACCCGACCATAACACGCACGTAGTTTTTAGAGGAGGAAAATGCGTAGGCATGCCACCCGTAGGCATTCCCTCCATAACACGCACAGACATTTCCCCTTACTTTCTAGGAGGAAAAAAGTGAGTGTTATGGTGCAAAAAATACGGTAGCTCATTTAAAATACATTGTTACGTTTTTTCCCCTCCTGGCAGCACATTGCATACATCCAATTTACACTTCTTGCTATGTTTTAAAATGGTAATGATTAGGAATACGCATCCAAGTCAAAGCAGCAAAACCCCGGTCCTCTCACACACCACACTGTGTACATATAGGATAATATATATATAGGATCTATATCTATATCTATATCTATGAACATATGGTGTAGCATAGATAAAAATATTTAACAATTTACATTTACAGAAAATATTACAAGCTGCTTTAAAGAAAAAGAAAATGTAGGCAGCAAATGAGAGATGCTGGTATGAATCTATTTGCTGTGCTTACCAAACTAGGGTGCAATTTACATCCCCTAGAAGCCAATTATAAAATCCCATGAATTTAACATTTAAATTGGATGTTAAAGTTAAATGGATCTGCACTGCACCCTATTTTTACAAATCAACACTTTTTTGTACCCAAAAACAAAAAACCTCAAGCAAAAGATTGCCAGCTGTGAACAAAGAGACAAAGAGTGTTAAACAATAACTTCTTTGATTGCTGCAAATATGTAGGAGACTATCTATAAACTTGTAGGAGGGCAGTAACTATATTTAGCAGCTCTGAAATAAAGCCTTGATTATAATACCGTAGCTTCTAATGCCATTACAAAGAGAGCACACTCATAATAAATTAGGCAGGGCAATCAGACTTCCAGTCGTTATTAAAACCACAAATGTCTGTGACTCACTTAAGAATTATTAATGGTGTTTCCAGCCACTAAGCACATGCTGTCAAATGATGGTGCAAATAATAGAAGGAAAAAAAGTTCAATATTACAATGTCATGCATTTGGGAACAACTAAGCATTTTTATTATGCCTGGGTGCTTCATTGGTTCAAAATAATAGAGGTCAAAAGGTCTCAGGGTATCAGATAATCATGATGACTAAGTGTGATGTAGCTCTAAATACAGTGGATGTAAATCCTGGATGCATTTTGTGATGTGTTTTTATTTGCGAAGAACTGATGCTTTCTTTGTACTGGCATTAGTGAGACCACATCTGGAATATAAGATACAAGGTATAGTTTTGGGGTTATTCGTGTTCAGAAATAATTCATTTTAGATGGAACAAAATGATTGGAAATGGTTAATTTAAGCTAGAATGAAATAATAAAATTAATAGACTGTAATAAAAATTGATTGAAAAATTAAGTTTGGTGTATTTAGAAAGAAAACGGTTGTGGGTTGTTTTATCGTTGTTTTGATGTCTCAACTGTAACTGAATGTTCTCCAATCCCATAGTGACTGCCCAACATATTTCCATCTTTCCCCCCCACACTATTTCTCCTCCTTTAGCTTTTCCAAACCACAAATATGCCTACTGTACATGTTTTCAGTTCAGCCTTCAAGCTGGGATTATACAATGTGTGGTATAATAGGCCCTCTCATACTATATTTAACTGGTATTTACCTTAACTGTCTCATACAAGACAAATTGTTTCCTTGGTGTGGCATAAAACTGCATGGGGTCTCAGATTATTCTGATCTAAACAAAGATAAAGAATTTAGGATCTTCAATTGTTCTAATGTTCTTCTTAGGGCACCTGTACTCACTAAGAAGTATCCTGAGGCACTTAATCACATGGTAACATGCCCTAAACCTCAAAGGGCTGGTTCTGCATTTTGGCATTTGGAAAATTTTAAACTGAGGATCAAATTAAAGCATGTTCAAATGAATGGCTGAGGCAATAACACTGGGAAAATGGATTGCGGATTGCCCTAGAAGCATCCAGAAAATAATGGGCACAAACTGTGAATAGTCCAGAAAAATATGGAACTAACTAATTATTAAGGCTTAGTGTTGGTTTATGAGACTTATGTTGAGACAGAGGTCCTTGATAGTAACACAAAATTATCTTTGAAATTAAGTCTGGAAAAAGAACCTAGATATTTATTTAAATATGCATCTTGCTTCATGTCAAAATACTTGAGGATGTTTCACACATTTAGATATATATGTAAGGTATTAATATGACAAACTATACATAGATACTAGTAAGAGCCAGTTGTGCACAATGTCATGCAGGAAAAACCTTCAGATTAACATTCTGTTCTGCAGACATGGACTCAAACCTTTTGAAACACAAGGGTGTGTGAGTATGAAGGGAACTAAAACCAATTCAACCTTTCTTCTTTGTGTCAAGCTTCTGGTGTTTGTTTGGTTAGGGTCGCGATCCTATACACTTGTACCACTTGTGCCAGGAAGTAAACCTCATTGAACTCTGTACGACTTCAGAGTAGGCATATGTCAGTTTCTGCTGCAAAACACATGATAGCCTTTGTTCCAATACATGAAGTGGCCAGTGGAGGGTGCATCTGAAAGTCAAACTACATTTTCAATGTAGCACTACAGTGGTACCTCAGGTTACAGACGCTTCAGGTTACAGACTCCGCTAACCCAGAAATGGTACCTTGGGTTAAGAACTTTGTTTCAGGATGAGAACAGAAATTGTGCTCCGGCAGCAGCGGGAGGCCCCATTAGCTAAAGTGGTACCTCAGGTTAAAAACAGTTTCAGGTTAAGAACAGACCTCCGGAACGAATTAAGTACTTAACGCGAGGTACCACTGTATGCACTTTCTGCTGTCCTTTGAATCCACTGCTGCCCTTAAGGGGGAAACCAGGCCCTCACAAGATGTGTATGTTCTGCAATGCTTTCATCTGGGTGCAGATTGTATATATGTCTAAATAAAACCATATATCATCATCATCATGGCTTTTTTTTTCAGCTGGAACTCAGTTCCGGCACCTCTCAGGTGGGCGTCATTGCCATTACAGTCAAACCTCAGTTTTTGAAGGTAATCTGTTCCTGAAGTCCATTCGACTTCTGAAACATTCGAAAACTGAGGATCAAAGGGCTGGATGCAAAGTTGGGGGGGGAATGACAAACGCGCCTCGGAAGCCATTTGACTTCTGAGGCGTGTTCGAAAATGGAAGCATTCACTTCCGGGTTTTCAGCGTTTGGCTTCTGAAATGTTCAGCAGCTGAGACATTCGAAAACCGAGGTTTGACTGTATAAGAGAACAAGGAAGGCGTTTGTGACAAGTTCCAGGACCTCTTTTTCTAGAGAAACAGCACTGATGATGATGATAGTACTGTAATAATTTATTGAATTTATATACTGCCTTATACCCAGGGCGGTTCACAACATAACATCAGAATATAAAACCACAAAATACATAATCAAATAAAAACAAACAACCCCATAACACCCCCCAACACATTTTAAAAGGGCGTAGGATATCAATCAAATCAACCAAAGGCCTGGTTAAAGAGGGTCGTTTTTGTCTGGCACCTAAAGGTGTACAGTATACTTTTTATAATGAAGGTGCCAGGCCTAATATTATGCACCCCACCCATTTGACTGGGTTGCCCCAGCCACCCTGGACGGCTTCAACCATAGCTGTCAACTTACAGATTTGAAAATAAGGGACCAGCAGCCAAAATAAGGGACCTGCAGCCTCACCTGTTCCAGGCACTCCAGTCTTCCTGTCCTTCTGCAGTCTGGTCAAACTCATGCTGGGTAGCTTCGAGAACACTGTCCAACCAACTTTGTAACCAGAGGTTCAACTGAATAGAATCTGAATCACATGCACCACAAGACCTATGCAGCCTCAACTTAAGATGGCTCCCCGGCCTGGCTTTGCACTGCAAAGTTTGCAGCAGCATGTGCAACAAAATTGCGTCCAGCATTCAAAACCCCCCTCAGCTTGCATTAACTAGCCACACACAAGGCATGCAAGCTCCACCCCCCAGTCGTTCTTAGACTTCTTATTGGGTGAGCAACACAGCCAAGCAACACAGTTGGAGCCTCCCTCCTCCCTGGCCTGCAGGGAGGGAGAGGAGCTGCTTCCTTTGAAATTTAAGGGACATTATTTAAGGGACATTTAAGGGATATCCATCAATAAGGGACACCAGCGGGACATGGCGCTGGAATAAGGGACTGTCCCTTCAAATAAGGGACACTTGACAGCTATGGCTTCAACAAATACAAAAGCATAAAACATTAAAAAATCCCTATCCGAAGGGCTGCCTTCCCATGTCTTCTAAAAGTTGCATAGTTATTTATCTCCTTGCTGGAACGCAGAAACTTCGCTTTTGCCGCTCCCTGCACGTGGTGTCCCCCTCTATCCCCTCCCAATCGCTGCAGAAGCGCAGACCGACTAAGCACGCAGCATTTGCAGCCGAGCTGCTGGCTGGCTGGCTCTCGCTCCCTCCGCGCGCTGTCAAGCAAGGGAGACAACCAAGCCCCGCCCCTTTCCCAGCTGCTCTCTCTCTCTCTCTCTCTCTCTCTCTCAGCAGGTGTGAAAAGCGAACGCCACGCTCTCCCGCGCAGGCGCGCCGGGCTCCTTTCTTTCCCTCTGGTCTCCCAACAAGCCGGGATTCCCTCGACCGCGCGTGCGCTCGAAAGCAATCGCTCTCTCTCGCTCTCTCCCCCTCCCACCCCGAAACAAGATGGCGGCGGGGAGGCTGGCCGGGAAGTTGGAGTGAGGGGGGCGGTGACGGGCAGCAGGTTACCAGTGTGGCGAGGGCAAAGGCCGCAGGCGGGCCGGCACCGACACCGACCGAGGCGCGAGTGGAGGGGAGCCGCCTTCTCGGGGATGAGAAGCCGGGGCGGCGGCAGGGGGACCAGCTCCCCTCTCGCCTGCTGCTGCTGCCGCCGCCGCCGCCTGTGAGGAAGGGGAGCCTGTCCCCCTCACGGCCTTCCCCCGCGCCCCGGATGTGTGGGCGGCCGCCTCCCAGCTTCGTGGTGGGGCCGAGTCCCCCGAGCGCCGGACGCGACGGAGGCAGCGGCGGAGTCCCGGGAGGGGCGGCTGCGGCGGCGCTGCTGCTGGGTGCGGAGGGCGAAGAGGCGGGCAGGTGAGTTGAGGCGCGGTGGCGGCGGCGGCGGCAGCAGCAGCAGCACACCTGGCCAGAGCCAGTACACCGGCTTCGATGCCTTTCTTCCTCCTCCTCCTCGCCTGAGCCTTGCCAGTCAAAGCAGGTCGGGGATCTGGGGTCTTTGAGGGTCGTTCCGCCTTCCCCCCCACTCCACGGGGCAGCAGGCACCATTGCCCCATTGTCTGGCTGACTTCTTGGAGCCCTACTTCTTCAAAACCCTGCCCTTTCCCTAGGACGGGGCTTTTACTATTTCGAGCCAGAGCCTCATGTAGTTAAAACGACCTTCTGTGGCCCGTGGGTCTTCTCCCTAAGGAGTTGGTGGATGGGGGTCCCCACCACTTGGAGGTGAGGGTGTCTCATGCCCTGTTTGTGGGGGCACTATTTGAAATGGGACACTGGTTCCTACAGGCCTATGTTCCCTATGCTCTCTTTATGTGGGTAGGGCTATCGATTGTGGCCGCTGTTGGGAGGAGCGCATCACAAAAAGGGCAAAAGTTGCATGGAGTTGTTTGCAACGGGCAGACGGGTCCCAAAGACCCCAAATTGCATCTGCTTCTACGTTCCGTTGGCAAAAGGAGTAGAAATTGGAGCAGTTGCGCTTTCACGAAGTTTGGAACTGAGTGGTTTGGATTGTGACAACTGCGGATTTGCTACAACCAGTTGTATTGGAACTCTGTGCAGTTTGTTCACTGAAGTTATCATCCTATTTTATTCCTCTGCCCATTAAGCCCATGCTTTGTTATAGTGAAGTAGTGGTTCTCAGCTGAATTGGGGATGATACAAACATTCCAACCTCCACACGGGGACTACTGATAAATGCTTCTACATTCTCCAAAACTGTGTGAATGAGCAGTATAGTGGCAATGTAATTCAGTGTTAGCAAGTGTAAAATGAAGCACGTTGGGGCACAAAAACCAACAGCAAAAAATCCTACGTGCTAGTGGGGGTCAGAACTATCCAGGAATGAAACCTTGGGGTTATGGGGGATAGCTTGATGAATATGTTGAATTTTACTTTAGGGATCATTAACAAAGTGAATGAAACTAAAATACCCTGTATCTTAATGCTATTATATAAAACTGGTGAGAACATGATTGCTTGCTGCAGCTGAAGGAGGATATTGAATATCTGGAAAAAAGCCAACCAAAATGAGCAAGGGGGTGAAGCAACTCCCCGGTGAGGAAAGGTTATAACTTTGGAGCAGCTTGGCTGTCTTTAAAAGATTAGACAGATCAATGGAGGATGAGTGAATGTGAATGACTACTAGCTATAATAGCTATGGTGGGAGACAATATGCCTCTGAATGCTTGAGAATCGCAAGTACGGTGGTACCTCAGTTTATGAACTTAATCCATTCCGGAAGTCAGTTCTTAAACCAAAACCATTCTTAAACTGAGGCGCGCTTTCCCTAATGAGGCCTCCTGTCGCCAGGGCCTTTCCACTGTTCTGATTCTGTTCTTAGACCAAGGTAAAGATTGCAAACCGGGACACTATTTCTGGTTTTGCAGAGTTCATAAACCAAATCGTTCGTAAACAGGACTGTTCTTAAACTGAGGTACTACTTTATTGCCCTGAGATCTTTGGATGAAGGGCAGTATCCAAATTAAGGAAAAAAAGATGGGTGGGTGCTGTCAAACTCTGGTCCTGCTTGTAGGCTTTCCATAGGCATCTTGTTGGTCATGGAATCAGTATCCTGGACCTTTGTTCTGAGCTCTTACATTCCAATGGGAACGGGGTAACACTTGTATACTACACTCGCCATCATGTAGGCTACCCAAATTGCCTACAGTAGGCTACCCAAATTGCCTACAGTAGGCTACCCAAATTGCCCACAGTAGGCTCCACAGTGGTCTTGTACAGTCTCGGTGGCCCTTAAGGCAGGTGTGCAGTCTCCAAGCAAATGAGTCAATCTACATGATCAACATTTATTCAGTTTAAGTATTTATCACTTTTTATGGTCAATCCTTTAAATCAGGCTTCCTCAAACTCGGCCCTCCAGATGTTTTAAGACAACAATTCCCATCATCCCTGACCACTGGTCCTGCTAGCTAGGGATCATGGGAGTTATAGGCCAGAAACATCTGGAGGGCCAAGTTTGAGGAAGCCTGCTTTAAATGGATCTTCCAGCAAGGGGAAATATTTTTGATATCATTTCAGAAGGTAGTGCTTCAATAAGAACAGTGAGTGCTAGTTAACCTTATGGAAGGTTTCCTCATTCCAGTGTTCCCTAAATGTTTTGAATTGCAACTCCCATCAGCTCACCCAAAATGAGCAGTAGCCAGGGTTGATGGGAGTTGTAGCCTAGCAACTTCTGTGGAACCTCTGATTCCCATCCCTGTTATAGAACCAGCCAGTCGTTGTGTTGCTGTTAATTGTTCTGTTTTTCCCTCCCTTCTACTTAGATTTCAGACTGTATGGAGGCTGGAGCAATCTAACTTTTCTTCTTGGTGAGTGCATCTCAGTGGATTTACCTTTGCTTGCATTTTTTTTTGGAATAATTGTTCCCGTATATTGTTCCAGGAATGGTGCTCTTACTCCTATAAGATACATGGTTTTTGTAGTTTATTGGTGGGAATTCTGAGAAACACTCATGAGTCTATAAATATGTTGCGGCCTCTAGTGTTGTTAGCAGTTGAAGAGTGTTGGTGACTTGTAACAAACTATGCCACTTGTAGGCAGATACTAACATGTTAGCTGAACATTGGACTTGAGTCTAAATTCAGTTTGGCTGTGGCAGTTTATTATGTTTGTTTCCTGTTTTGAAAATTGAACTTTTGTTCACCTGCAGGAAGTTGTTATGGGGATCAGTGATTTTACAATAACTGCTCATTATGCTGCTGTACTGAACTCTTGTGAATAATCTGCATAATACCTTCTCCATATGGCTGTCCACTTCTTCATGGCAACCATGTGTATCTAACCCAGATTGCTACACTGAAGTTTCTACACTAGCAGTGTGGAAGGCATCTGTTACAAATATGAAAGCTTTCCTGATTGGGAAGTTCCACATAGCAAGCTGTATTAAATACTACATTTGGGTATATAGAAGTAGCCTGTGTGGAGAAGGTAATCTGTAGATTGGCCTTTGTGGACCAACATTTGCACAATACCCAATTCCTACTAATAGCGTATACATAATTGCCACCCGTGGCCTATTTATCAATTGGTTTCAACTGAATTTTATCTCTGGAAGTAAGCTTTATTTCAAAGAAACTTTACACACAAGTGTATCCAATCACAGTTTTATTCAAAGATACCTGTGGATAGTGAGATATGCTCTGTTCCCTACTATTCTATCTCCCTATCCATTTGTGGGGGAGAGAGATTCTTCCTCACCTCCAATATATGTTGCATACTGAAAAGACAGAATTTGGACGCGGGTGGCGCTGTGGGTAAAACCTCAGCACCTAGGACTTGCCGATCGCATGGTCGGCGGTTCGAATCCCCGCGGCGGGGTGCGCTCCTGTCGTTTGGTCCCAGTGCCTGCCAACCTAGCAGTTCAAAAGCACCCCCGGGTGCAAGTAGATAAATAGGGACCGCTTACCAGCGGGAAGGTAAACGGTGTTCCATGTGCTGCGCTGGCTTGCCAGATGCAGCTTGTCACGCTGGCCACGTGACCCGGAAGTGTCTGCGGACAGCGCTGGCTCCCGGCCTCTAGAGTGAGATGAGCGCACAACCCTAGAGTCTGTCAAGACTGGCCCGTACGGGCAGGGGTACCTTTACCTATTCAATAACTGTTAAAGATTAAAATATTAAAGAACTAAAATTACATGACTAACTTTTATTCAAATAGTGGAAAAGCATTATATTTAAGACTGATAATTTCTACATAGTTAAAACTTCACTTTTTAACATTTTGTAAATGCCATGCTTTCAGTTTTACTAATCGTAGTGAGTCAGGAAACAAGTTTAGTGGAGATCACAAGGTCCCTTAGCATATTATTACGCTTGGACTTCTGTTTCCTCCTGATATCCTTCTTCTCTTCCTCTTCATAAAGACTGCATTGCAGATAAGCTTATCCCAAGGGAGTAGTTTAATAACTGAACACACTATTTTAGGGTACAAATTAACTGATACGAAACTTCCAAGAATGTACAGGTATTCTTAATTTCTATAAATTGAGAATTTCTGTGTTCCTAGAGACATTATTGCGTTTGTGGAATGACTTACACTTGCACAATGAAACGTTCCCTCCTCTCTTATCCCTCTTCTTCCCATCCTCTTCAAGTGTTAGGGGACCTTGTCCCAGCAGAGGGGTGTGTGTGTGTGTGTGTGTGTGTGTGTGGAACGGAAATGAGAGGAAGTTCCATTGTGTGAGCATAAGTCATTCCACAAGCGCAGTGTCTGCATTGGCTATAACCTTATTGTTTAGCATTATGTACAGACCAGGATAATGGTGACAGGAATATAATTGTAGAGTTGGGAAGGGACCCTGTGGATCATCTAGTCCACCCCCCTGCAATTCAGGAATATGCAGCTGTCCCATATGGGGATCGAACCTGCAAGCTTGGGATTATCAGCACCGTATTCTAGCCAACTGAGCTAGCTAGGCAAAAGCAATGAAACAAAGACTTGGCTGTATCACATTTTTTATTGACTTTGTTTTGTATAGAGATGTGTGGTTCCGCTTGCATTCATAATGCCATTTCTTTTATCCACACTTCTTCCGCTTGCTTTTAAAATTCTGTAATGTTTTTGTACTTTGGATTTGTAAAAGAGCCTTTGCGGAACTGGTCAGAAGTGCCTGGGAACCAAATTAAAGCATATTGCAGTTTCTGCACCACAGGATTGTTGAATGAAATCTTGCCCACCTTCTAAATTGTTTGTGAGGCTTCTGTTCCCTACTTTGTAAAACACACACTGGATATTCTTATCTGGCCCCTGTACCTCTTTGTGCTATTTTTTCCCCCTCCAGCTGTCCCAGCTCCTCTCCAACTAGCAGTTCTCGTTCTCCCTCTTCATCTCCCTTTCCCTGCCACCTTCCAATCTGAAGCAATGGAACATGCAGCATTAATTGACTCAGTGCTTCACTCTTCTTATTTAACATTTTTTGATTCGCACTTGGGAATTCTTGAACCTTGCTTGTTTATAGACCTGTTAGCAATGATATATGAAACCCAATCTGTGCATCCTTCCTTCTGTAACCCCTATTTTCCTGAGGTGAGGTCTCAGTTTTCCTGACTTTTTCGTAACTGTCATTTGAGAGTGGCATAGTCTAGTTTTAACCAGAATAAGGGAGTTATGGTATGGCTTTCATTTAGAGTTGTGTGTGCTCATTAATGGACTTCTGAGGATGAGCTGTAGAAGACATTGTGTGAAACTTCTAATGTGGAAGAAGGGAAAGTCTGCTGTGAAGGAAAGGCTCTCAACCTTTGAAGGCGGAGGTCTGAGAGAAGATTTGAAGGGATTACTGAAGGGAAGCTTGGTGATAGGAAAATGATTTGCTTGCTCAAACAGTAGAAAGATTTGAGCATTGTATGAGAAATTGGCAAAAGTATCTATGTGGTTTGTTGTGATTTGTTTCTGTGTGTGATATGTGTTCTTACTGCTACACATGACAAGGTGGTAATTTAGTGACAAACTGTCAGTTTGATATGATTTTAGTATCCCTTTAAAATGCTGAAATAAGTAAAATGAAAGAACATTGTATATGGTTTATTTGTTAATTCTGAATGTAGTGTTTAGTATAATAGAATATATACAGTTTATTTATCTAGCCTACTTAGAACCTAGTTTCTGTGTTCAAGTCAAAACCAAAAAATTGTGTTTTGTTTACTTATACTGTAGTTGTAAGCTTCTTAGCTTTAAAGGCATCTAATAGGGCAGTTCTAACAATGTCTACTCTGAAGTCCTATTTAATTCAACATATCTATTCCCCTAGTTGGTTACCATCACCATATCTTCTGGTAGAAAATTCCAGTTTAAGTATACTGTGTGTGCAGTACAGTCATACCTCATGTTGCGTTCGCTTCAGGTTGCATTTTTTCAGGTTGTGGACTGCCGAAACCCTGAAGTGCCAGAACGGGTTACTTCTGGGTTTCGGCAGTTGCGCATGAGCAGAAGCACTAAATTGCACTATGCGCAGAAACACCGAATTGCAACCTGTGCGTGGTTTCCACTGTACTTCATTTGAGGTATCATGAATCTTCTAGTATTCAGTTTTAACCAATGTCTTTGGGTTCTAGTAGTTTGAATTTCTGTGTCCATTGAATTTACACTATGCATAATTTTTTAAAAACCTTCATCTTGTGATCAATTTATTTCCAGGCTGCGTCAGTTTCACATGCGTTCAGTCCATAAGTGTGCTTTGTCCTACCTATTTCTTTGTCATTCTGCAAATATAAAAAGAACAAGTTAACACTTCACATAGTGCACATATGCCTTTCACTATATTTTTGAAGCAAAATTCAGAGAAGTTCAGAAACCAAATGATAATGACATTCTTATTTGCATATTATTCTGGGATGTAAGAATCAGGTTTGTTTAAAGAATTTGGACCAAAGAAAATCCTCAGGCATGCCTACTTCTCTGAACATGTGGCCCTCCAGATGTTGTTGGACTTGTACTCCCATCTGCCCTTACTGGCTTGTTAGGGATGTCAGGAGTTTTAATCCTGCAACATCTGGAAGACCCCAAATTTCCCATTCCTGCTTGCTTTTCCTGAACTTAAAGGTCCCTAGATGTTGTAACCCTTCCTCACAGTGGAGTTGCTTTGGCTGTTCGTCATTTTGGTTGCTGTTTCCTGAGTTTTCCATTTTGAGACATGCTGACCCAAACTTTAGGCACTATAGATCTATATAAAGGCATTACAATTTTAGAAGATTGTAATCCCTTTGCAATCCTTTTCATAATAATCCCAAACATGGAATATATCTTTTTCTCACCTGCTGCACATTGGGTCAACGTTTTCATTGAACTATCTGTTTTGAACCCAAGATTCTTCTTCTTGGTTGGTCATCACCACCTCTGACCCAATCCATCTATTTATGATTTTTTTTTGCCCCAGTATCTATCACTTTTTGGACTTGTTTTCATTGAACTGCATTTGCCATTTTACTGCCTGTTTATCTTATTTTGGAGAGAGCCTTTTAGAGCTTATCATTCTGAATAAATTGATGTCAACTGCATCTATTCACTTACCTTAGCACCCAAGCCCTAGTATTGCAGCTTCAAGTTTTTCATTTTTGATTCAGTTCGTACAACATCCAGAATAAAGATATAAATTCTATATATCAAGAAAGGTAGTACTTACTGGATACCTGCATTCCCCTCCCCCCATTTGTATAACAACATACTTTGAAAACAGTGAGATGTGAGTACTTTTCTCTTTCAAATTTCTTACTATGATAACACCACTTATCATAATAGGCATCGTATTGCTTAAGTACAATTAACTATATATCCCAAATAAATACTGGATTCAAGACTATAGTGTATTTTATGGTGTTATGTGGAATCTTTGTCACTGTTGTCTAAAAAGGCCTGCTATACCTACCCTTCATGAAAATGATCTATAGTTTGTTGCAAATAATTTGGTAGTAATTTGCTTTGGGATATTTTTGGTGGTGAGAAGAGAGATAAATTCAGTAAGCATAGCCTAGACAAATTGTTATTGACAGCCACCTTGAAAGCTCTTTAGAATGGAAAGTGTGTGATACAAATATATGTCTTAAAAACAAAAATGGTTCATGAGTACATTTGCCTGCAAGTAAGCCCTTTGAATTTTATTGGAATTTCATGCCAGGGGAAGAGATTTAGGGTTGCAACCTAACATCAGAATACTACAATGACGTATTTTAGCTGAACAGATCCAGTCTGTTGTATTAATTGTAATCCCGTTCCAGCAATTTAATGTATGATAGCAGGTATGTAGTATTTCACTAATATCCCTGGCTTTGTGCTATCTGAAACATCTTGAGAGTAGCATATAAGTAACTTATTTCCAGTACTGTATACATCCCCCCTCCATACATTTAGTGCTCTGCCTTGTGGACAATTACCTATATGGTTCTTCTGATCAAACATATTGGGTGGGCTCTGAACTATGGTGAATGTCACATTTCAGTGTTGAACCAGTGCACAACCCTTGGCACAAATTGCTTTCACTGCTTCATCTGAAAGAGCTAGGATATGCAAACTGAGATTTATTTATTTTTAAAAAAACCTGACCGTTTTCAGTGCTTCATATTAACTGAAAATGATAATATGGTGGGGCCCCAGTCTTGGGCTCTTGTCCATTGCTTGACTTTGTTGCCTTCTAGAGCCAGGCTTGGCATCAGCTGTTCTACAAATACACACTTTGTGGGGGGCAGTGTGAATTTGAAACTTGGGTCATACATGGGGCAGGCATCTTTGCGTAGATTAGAAGTCTAAATGTTTGAATTGCTTCATGCTAACAACATTAATTCTTTGCTTTTATTGGGCATGCTAAGAATTGGTTTTCTGTTAGACTTGTAAGATGTTGAATTAATATGGATTTGAGTATTTCACAAAAGTTTAGATGCCAGTTCAAGTGACAGCCCACTAATTAAATGTCATTGTTAGACCTTGAGAACTGGACTTGGTTCATGAAGCTTTTTCCAAAAAATGTTTCAAGTGCAATAACTTGAAAAGAGTGAAGTGAATGGGAAAGGAGTGCTTGTCATCCTCTTTAAGCAATGAATTTGTGTACTGCTCTATTTGCATGAAAAAGTAGATTTCTGTACATGACTGTCTTTATACTGCTCTCAGTTTTTACTGGGAAACAAAATGTCTTAATTCTTCAGCTCTTAAATAGTGTTTAGTTTGGTTCACAAAGTCTTCAGTAACGTTCTATTAACTTTGTAAGCATGCACAATAATAAAGATCAAGGTTAGCTTTATTTCTGTAGTTTCTTGTAGTAGAGTGATGTTGTGGCTTTATTTCAATTAAGTTTTTAAATTAATCAAGAACAGTTTGATTCTGTGGCATTTGCTTAGCTGCAGTGAAGACTTAGACAATACGTTTTAAGTCATAAATGTTCAGTGTTCATTTATGGCATGTCTAAAAGAGATGAATAAAAGGCTGTTTTGATCTTTCACAACTTCCTTTATTTGAAAATCCTGTGTAACAAACTGATATTTGAACTTTTAGTGTATTGTCCTCTGTAATGGTCAGTAGAAGAATCGTACTGCGCAGAAGTAGAATTCTGCACTTGTGACTTTATTGTCAGTATCTTCATATCAATACATTGTATTGATTTGATGCGCCTTTAGTATTCTACTGTATTGGATTAATTGAGTGATGTAGCATTTGTGTGAACCTGTGATAAGATGGCTGCTGTGTCTCAAACTGCTACTGCTGTAGAGCAGAAAATATATAATATTAAAATATCCACTTGGTTGACAGAAAGTTGTCTGTATTAAGCTATAGGAAATTAATTTTATCTTCTAATACTACTTGCAAGTCTTTAGAAGCACCTGATACTTAGAGATAATTTTGGCAAAACATAGCAGATTTAATCTGCAAAAGAAGACCATGCTAAAACTGTTTAGAGGTTTTGTTCACAATTAAGAGGTATAAAAATTCTGCTTAATGCTGAAGAAGACTTTGGGTTCTTTCAGGATAATATTTTTATTCACGTTTAAACAAGCCAATCTATTGGAAACTAGTTAATAGATATTCAGCTGTTCCTCCCCCCTTTATTTTTAATCTTAGAGGAAAGGAAGTGTCTTCTTCTGATTTCTCTGCTGCTCCAAATGCAACCTCCCATAATTGTTTCTCCATGTGGTCTTCAGGTGAAGGGTGGTATGCAAATTTAATAAATAATCATAAGCACCATTATTGTTTGGAGAGCCCAACCTCCAGAGAAACTTTACAAGGAAGGGAAGGAAGATTCAGCAAACACCCAACCTTCTTAAAGGGCAGTGTCCTGTAGGTAGAGCTCTGCTCATGAGAAGTCTGAATCCAACCCACTGCCTTCTAAACTGATTGTATTCTTAAATATGGGTATGTATCTATGGAAGACAAAAATACTTGTTTGAGTTAATGGGACAGAGCAAATGAAGCCCATAAGTTGCAGGAGAAGAAATACTCGTCCTGTTACAGAATCAAATGATATACAGAATGCTCTGATTCTTGGTTTACATGCTCGGCATATAGAAAGAACAAACAGTATGCATGTCTCTAAAAAAAATATAGTTCTGATTATGGGTGCCACAATTGCCAGGTTTTGATGGCCTGATAGTAGAACTTCTGACAACCTTGTAGTAACTATTTCTCATGTCGTTCCAATGGCAGAGTGCAGACATCGAGACCCAGGCCCTGGGAAACAGCCCAGAGTGGTTAATAGGAAATCAGGATCTATGCGAATGATGCTAGCATCTGTTTGTTATGTGCACTTTGGACTAGATTGGCATTGAGCCCCTATGGTGCAAAAAACAAACAAATCCCTGCACATTTTCAGGACACAACTTGGTTATTCAGGAATGTATCCATTCCTTGCAGCATAATTATTATGGGTCAAATTCTAGCTCAATCCCTGAAGCTAATATTATCTCCAGTTTATTTTAATGCTCATATTCAAATGACATTACTGATGATATTGTCAGTGTGTCAGGTTCAAACAGGAAGGATATTCACACTTTCTAAGTGACTGTCCCCATAGTTATTCACAAATTATCTGGGTTAGATGCATATCAGTCGACAGAATCAGGAGACACAACATATTCTTACGTCCTGTGTTCAATATGTCAGTTAATAACCTGTTTAGGTTTTGCTATTACCAAAACTAGTAATTGTTCATATTTTCACTCTTGCAGTAATTAGCAGTATCAGCTAAAGTAGATTGTATACGTGAAAGCTGCCTGAGACTAAGGAAGCAGTACTGGAGAATATCCGGCCCTAAATTTACCTCTTATCCTATGAGGCAACATTCTGGGGAAAACAAACTAGTATACAGATTTCCTTTCTGAACTTGGGGAAATGTCCAGTGCCTTTTGTTAGAATAGTGACTCTTCCTTTGCTCAGACAGTTTTAAATATTCAATAATATGGGGGCTGGTAGTGTAGATTGGCATAATAATACAAAAACAAATTATTTAAGTAACCTGAATTGCAGAGAACTTCACATATTTTGGATACTTGCATGATTTTTGAATGTAAATGCAGTATGTAACAGTAACCTACTGCCTATTCAGACAGGAAGCAGGATGTGCTGCTGGCATTAATCACTGCTTCTCTCTAACAAATGGTTCTCCAGATATATTTGTTAACAATAACTGCCTTCCTATTACATTCATAATTTCTGTCTCAAATTGAATCATCAGTTAAGACTGGCACAGCAATCCTATGCATGTTTCCTCAGAAGTAAGTCCCTCTTACTCCCATGTGTGTTTGGGATTGCAGCCTTAAGCTCCCTATGTCACGATCCACATTACCTTCATTTTTCTTGTGTGCATATGCATACATTATGCATTGAGGCATGTGTTGTGGCTATTGTGCGAATACAGCAGGCAGCATCCTTTGCAAAGTAATTTTCTTAATTGTTATAAAAATGTTAGTATGCAAGTTGTTTGGGTGGAAAGCCACCTTAGTTTCTGTGAAGTCATGTTCTTTTGCTAAATCCTAAGTATTATATGTATATATTATCAGCTGTAAACTATAGCTGAAATTTGGAATGAAAATGCTTTTACAGTTGACATGGTTTTCCTGCTGAACGCCTCCCCTCTGTTTTAAAATGTGTTACCACTAGGGACATAGACTTGGAGGTCTGGATGGGACTTGAAGGTCATCTTGTTTGATGCTCTACCCTAAAGCAGAATCTTGCAGTTTGAATTGAAATGGACTAGACAGCTCCTAATGATCAGTAATGGAAATGGATCTGAATTAAATTAGCCCTCTCTGCTATGATGTGAACTGATTATTTTCCATAGCTTCAATCAAGGGTATATGTTATCAATACTGTTAACATATACATATTAGTCTTGATGAATCACTTGGCATTGAGGGCAGAAAAGGCAGTCATCACACAAAGAGAAATTGTTCAGTTAAACGAGAATAAGAGAAATTGATTTTGGGCATGTCTCTCTTTCTCTGTTCTCCCCCTGACCCCATTCCACTGTATTCCCTCTCTGCTCAGTAAAGGTGGTTGTCCTTTCCTGTTCTCATTGACAAGTTACCCCTCCCTTCCCTTCTGCTAGATTGTACAGACAGCAAATTGACAAGAGCTGGGGTGGATCGGAGAAAAGAAAGCAGTGGATGTGAACAAGACTATGTTATATTCTCAGATGTGATCAGGGCCATTGGCTGGGTTGGGCTGGGTGAACACGTGACTGGAATGTGGCTGTATTGGCTCTGGCTTTAGCGCAGACAGTGAATACAGGAAGGTACTGGGTGTTGAAGACTGAATGGAGGTGCGGTCGGCGTCGGAGATGGGGTAGGTGAAATGTTAGTGTTGTACTCCTGTTGGAAATGAGCACTGAGTATTGGTGTCTGTAAGGACAGCATTGTCCCATCTGGCTAGTGAATGACATTTGTCAGGAAAGGTAGCCTGGTTCTCTGTGCATGCATTCGCTTCTTAGCTTTTACAGAAAGAACTAGGAATCAAGTCCTAGGATTCCGATCCATGCTTTTGACAGAACGAGAGGATATTGCGATGGCGAGCTTTGGAAGCGATAGAAAAAGGACGCTTTTGTAGCACGAAAATGGTTGTTCTAAAGGTTTGACATAGAAACAAGGAGAAAATAGTATCTTAGGAGACGGATAAAGGGCAACAAAGAATGAAACATTCATCGCTTAGAGGAATGAGCTGAGCCCATTGAAATCCTCCCTTCTCCTTCTCCTCCTCCCTCCTGTCACAGTAGCAGCAGCCAGAGAAAGGGACACAAAGCAGCAGAGGAGATGCCTTGATTTGAATCTAACAACCCCACAATGCAAGGGCTGGAGGGGGAGGATGAGGAAGGTATTGTAGAGAATGGATTATTGTAATTTTGAAATGTTAAGATTTGCTTTTGGCTGGCCTGCATAATATTGCAGAGCCATGAAGACTCCCCGCTGGAAATGCTGTGAAATCCCAGTGCCTTTGTTAGTGACATGATGTGTTGCTGGCATTTCTGCGGTTTACTGCAGCAGCTTTTGCTCCTTTACTGAAAGGGGAAAAGCTGCATAGAGACAAGAGGTTCTGCTGCACTGCTGCACCCAGGAATGCAGTAGAGCAGTTGCCATCCCTACAAAAGCAAATTCCAAAATGTTAAAATATAAAGATGAAAGGGAAAGGGAAAGACCAGTATTTGTCATCTGCCCGAAGCTTTTGACTTGATCTATTCATCATCACCATAAGAGATTCTGAGAGTTATTCAGTCTTGGATACTATTAGTAATCTTAATAAATTATGTATGAAGTAGTGCTCTTTTCTTTCTTTTTTCTCGTCAGATGCAGTTTTAAATGTAATAATTAGGTCAGCTTTGATGCATCACTGTGGAGGAAAAATGGCTATTTTATTTGAGCATCAGCAGAATTAGCAGAACAATGATTAAAGTATAATAAATTATCAATTCATTTTCAGCAGTATAAGTCGAAGGCAGTACTTTTGGGATGATTGGCTTTTTTGGGGGATCAGCCCAAAAATTCTTGAATAATTGTGTGTTGTATTTACTTGGTGCTCCCAAATGCTAAAACAGTATTTTAGTATTTATGGCAATTGTTTTTAAATTACTGTACACTTTAATATTCTGATTTGCCACATTTCAAACTATAGCAATTATTGTTCTTGCTGGCTGATAAAGATAATGTGGATTCAAAAATTATATATAGCAAGAATGCCATTTTCTACTTGGTATGTACATTTTTTAGTGAAGTCATCAGTTTCATTAGTGGACTATAGATCTATTAGTGGACTATCAGATCTATTATTTAGAGTAATAGGCCTGTGAATACTTAGACTTCCTTAAAATTTATATAAATATATTCAATTTCAGATCAGCTATATAGAACAGTATAAGTAATCATGATGGGAGCCCACATGAGAGATGCATTCCATTAAATATTTTCTTAACAATTCAGACATAAGGACATGAATAATCACTAATTAAAATGAGTATGTGATTAGAAGAACAAGCTTAAGGTTCTTCTTGTAGAATTATTAGTCCCATTAAATAACTATAGGAGCTAGGAGAAGAAGACAAAAATCTTGGACAGCAGTGGTAGTGCAGAGGCTCCTTTGGATTGTTCTTCCATTATTACTTTAAACTGGGTATGTGCAGAGAATCTTCTCTTTAAAATGGCACAAGGATTCAGTTATACTCTGTATACTCCATAAAGTTGGAGCCTACATAATAAGCTGGTGCACCAAATTTCAATTGTCTTGTAATGGTGGATATGACGGAGAATTTATGATGTGTTTTCAATATATGAAAATACAACATTTTTGATAAGTCTTTGTGATGGGTATTTAGTTTACCATTCTGCCATTATTAAAGGATCCAATCAGGAAGAGATAAGTCAATTTATTGTTGAAACAGATTTCTATATGGTGGCAGGCTGGATACTATGCAGAATAAGTGCTGATGAGCCTTCTAAATATAAACTGTTTCCTGTTGTTTGACATGTGAAGGTCACTATGTTGGATCACTTGTGATTCTGAAGTGATGTTATTTGTAATGATAAGTCTTATTTAATACAATTACTTGTTTTCCAATAAGTGATCCATGCCTTTTAAATGGGAAATAGAAGTGCTTAGAACTCTTTCCTGAATCATGTGCATAACTGTCCCACTTTGTGTTTCTTGATTAAGACAGTACTGCATGGTGTTGATCTGGTTGTGGACCAGATCCAGGTGCTCTTGAAGGAAACTGATTTTTTCAATCAGGGTTTCCTAGACTTGGGTCTCCAGCTGTTTTTGTACTATAATTCCAATCATCCTTGCCCACTGGTCCTGGTGGTCAGGGATGATGGGAGTTGTAGTCCAAAAACAACTGGAGACCCAAGTTTGGGAGACCATAGTATCCTTCTGCAGCAGCTGTCTGAGTTAGGGGTAGGTGGCACTGCTTTGCAGTGGTTCCGTTCTACTTGGATGGCTGTTTCCAGAGGGTGCTGCTTGGGGAGTGCTCTTTGGCCCTGTGGAGCCTTCAATGTGTGGTTCACTTTTATCACCTATGGTGTTTTAACATCTTACATGAAACCACTGATTAGGGTTATCAAGAGTTTTGGAGTACGTTCTCAGCAATATACTGATGGCACACAGCTCTGCTTCTCCTTTACATCTGTAGGTGTGGCAGTGGATGTGCTGGGCCACTGTCTTGCCTTGGGAATGGACTGGAAGAGAGCCAGTAAACTGAAGCTCAATCCAAATAAGACTGAGGCACTGTTAGTGGGCGGTTCCCTATACCAGATGGATGGGAGGTTGCCAGCTCTTGATGGGGTTACACTCCCTCTGAAGGAGCAGGTCCATAGTTCGTGGGTATTTCTGGATCCTCTCCTGTTTGAGGCTCAGGTGGCTTCAATAGCATAGAGTGTCTTTCATCATCTGGTGAGTCAGCTGCCGCCCTGGCTGAACAGGGATAGCCTAACGTCTGTCGTCTATGCTGTGGTAACCTAGGTCAGATTACTGCAATGTGTTGAACATAGGGCTTCCTTTGAAGTTCAGAAACTTCATCTAGTGCAGAATTTGGTGGCCAGGTTGCTCACTGGGGTAAGACAGTTTGAACATATTTTACTGATCCTGGTCCAACTGCACTGGCTGCCAGTTAGTTTCTGGGCCCAATTCAAAGTGCTGACCTATAGGTTTGACCTATAAAGCCTTAAACGGCTCAAGACCGCAATACCTCAAGGGCCGCCTCTCTCCATCTGAACCTACCCAGACTCTGCAATCTTCATCTGAGACCCTTTTGCACATACCTCCTCCATGAGAGGTCTAGAGGGTGGCGGCATGAGAACAGGCCTTTTTGTGGTGACTTCCCATTTGTGGAATTCTCTCCCCAGGGAGGCTCGCCTGGTGCCTTCATACATAGGTGCCAAGTCTTTGGCTGATTCTATGGGCTTTTAAATGTGTTTGGGGGTATTGGTTTGTGTTTGCTTTTGTTTTATTATGTATTTTGAATTTTTATAATGCGAAGCGCCCTGTGGTCTTCAAATGAAGGGTGGTATACAAATTTTATAAATAATAAAATAATAAAAAATGCTCTGACAAGCCCATCTTTTCTCCAAACTCATTTCACAGGTGTCTGAATAGCTTGTAGTAGCTTTGTTTTTCATAACTGCGTTTAAAGAAGTTTACTTCCTTTGCTTGACATGTGCACTCACTGAAGCAACATTTGAGAACCCCTTTAAATTAGCTTTAAAACCAAATATTGTAGAATTTGGCTCTATTCATTTGATTAAACCTTACACCCCTGCCCACTGTGTGAGACCTCTCCCACTATTTGTGCCAGAAGAGAGAGGCAGAGAGAGAGAGCTAATGAAGCACCTATTGTGTGCTTCTGGGAAATAACCGACTTGTGTACGGATGCTGCCCAGCGAGACACTGTCAGTCATGGGATAATTGTGAGAAATGAGACCCTGCAGAAGCAGGATCCTTTGCATACACGATGTTCCCTCATTGCACAATGCAGCAGAGGGTTAGGGCTGCTCTCACTCTGGATGCATTCTTTTTCCCATGAGTGAAGCAAGAGACAGCAGATCCTGCTCCCAAAGGAGAAGTAGGGATGTAGCAGCAGTTGGATCCCATCAGGTTATCTAGATCAGAGGCATGGGGAAGATTTTTCTGTCCAATGGCCATATTCCTTCAGTCTCCCAGGAGCCATATGCTAGCGGTGGGTGAGCCCTGAGGCAAAAGAGATTAGATCAGTGTTTCTCAAACTTGGGTCTCCAGTTGTTTTTGGATTACAACTCCTATCATCCCTATCTAGCAGGACCAATGGGCAGGTATCATGGGAATATTGTTGGACAGTGGATATTGTGTTGGTCAAGGAACGGGCGTGGCCATATGGCAAAGAAATATGTACAGTAAAGTGGTTTTGTTTTATTCATAGTTTTGTTAACCTGAGGTCTTCACTGTGGTATAATTGACCAGCATGATTTGTCTGTTGTGGACTTCAGTCTGATGCTTCCAGTGTATTCACTGCTTGCAAGGTCTCAGAACTTTAACATGGCAAAAGTTCAAACAAGGGTAAAACCTAATGGTATTGGGGACAGCTGTTCCGTCTGAGTTTTTTCAACAGTCTGAAGAAATTTATGATAAGTGCTGAAATGTTCTATTTTTTTTTTTAAGAATAATTTTTTATTAACCGACCAATCACATCAAATCAAACCAAATTACATAAATTCCAAATTACACAGCCGAATTTTAAATTTTTGTTGGGGGTACCCATATTTCAAGTTCCGAAGGGGATCCAATCAACTTCTTGCTTCTTACTGCTGTTTTAATGTCCACAAATCTAACCTTACTGAAATGTTCTAATAATGCTGGTACAGTCAAACCTCGGATCCCGAACGCCTCCGTTTTGGAACGTTTCGGCTCCCGAACCTCAAAAACCCAGAAGTAAATGCTCCAGTTTTCGAACGTTTTTTGGAAACCGAATGTCCAATGCAGCTTTCACTTGAGTGCAGGAAGCTCCTGCAACCAATCAGAAGCCGTGCCTCGGTTGTCAAACATTTTGGAAGCCAAATGTCTTCTGGAACGGATTACGTTCGACAACCAAGGTTTGACTGTACTGGCATTGAAAAATTATTCCTTACATGGCTAAACAAAGTTCAGTAAATTATGGAAACACCATGAACACAGCATCTCATTTAAAAAAGAACTTGCCTTCATGCAGTAAGTTATAGTGTATTCTTGTGCAATATCTAGCTGTTCTCTTGTGAGTGAGAGAATACAGAACACCAACCTTTAGCTGATTGTTTGTTTGTTTGCTTTAAAAAAAAATTACCATAATAATAATGATTTATGAAATTCACCAGTTAACATCCAAAATACAATCAAAAGGATGATATCTGTTCTTGTTAGTAGAATTCTTACAGGTTGCATCCCTAATTTGTTAAATATATTTTGATTAAACCGACTATGGAGCTAGTAAAGAAATACTGAGACTTTTGATCTTAAAAAATGTAGTATAAACACCAACAATTGGGAAACACTGGCCTGCGAGTGCCCCAGTTGGAGAACAGCCTTTACCAAAGGTGTTGTGGACTCACAAACTCAGGATGAAAGGGAGAAATGTCCCCACTGTGGAAGGACGTGTGGATCCAGAATTGGCCTCCACAGTCACCTACAGACTCACCATTAAGACCGTGTTCATGGAAGACAATCCTACTTGGCTACGAGTGATCTTCAGAAAAGAAGACTTGAGACTTTTGGTTCCTTTCCCAAATCTTCAGGTTGAGGTTATACCGTATTTTTCGCCCTATGGGACTCACCGGCCCATAGGACGCACCTAGTTTTTTGGGGGGGGGAATCAAGGGAAAAAATTTTATTCCCCCCCCCCCCCCCGGTTTGCGCAGCCATCCCCAAGCTAGAAGAGGGAGACGGAGCGCTCCGTCTCCCTCTTCTGCCTTCAGGGACAGCCTCTCTAGCCTCCGTGGGGCAGCGGCTTGCCCCGCTGTCCCTGAGCTTGTGGGGCTGGCGGGGGGGAGAAGCTTCTCCCCCCCGCCAGCCTCTAGACCAGGTCTGGGAATAGCGGGGTGGGGGCGCTCCGCCTTCCCGCTATCCCCCGAGCTTGTGGGCTGCAGGCTGCTCCCCACAAGCCTTGTGAGCCCGCAGGACCTCCCGCCGGGCTTGCAAGGCTTGCGGATAGCTTCCTGAAGCCTGGAGAGCGAGAGGGATCGGTGCGCACTGACCCCTCTCGCTCTCCAGGCTTCAGCGAAAGCCTGCATTCGCCCCATAGGACGCACACACATTTCCCCTTCATTTTTGGAGGGGAAAAAGTGCGTCCTATAGGGTGAAAAATACGGTAGCTGTGTTTTGCTTCACACTTTGTGTGATATCTCCTTCTGTTACTCATGAGCTGACACTGCATAATGGCAAGGCAATGAATCGATGGGGGAATTGCGAATGTGAGAACCCCAGAATTTGTTAAAGCTGGCCTGGTTTGCATAAACATTTGCTTGTATTGCTGCTTCTTTCTTTCTTTCTTTCTTTCATTCATTTCCTTTCTTAAGTCTTGTCTATACAAGATTTTAACAGGTTTAATTTGCTTGGTATTAGTAGAGGGTTGGTTGAATCCAGAATATCCTTTGTGCCAGAGCTCATGATTAAGATTGATTGCTTTATTTACAATTTGTATTACAGTGGTGCCTCGCAAGACGAAATTAATCCGTTCCGCAAGAGTCTTCGTCTAGCGGTTTTTTCGTCTTGCGAAGCAAGCCCATTGACGGATTAGCGCTATTAGCGCTATCAGCTGTTTAGCGGCTATTAAAGGCTTAAAGGCTGAGGGGATTAGCTGCTAAAAGGCTATTAAAGGCTATTAAAGGCTTAGCAGATTAGATAAAGGGGGGGGAAGCGAAAAAAAAATCTCAAGACTCGCAAGGTATTTTCGTCTTGCGAAGCAAGCCCATAGGGAATTCGTCCTGCGAAGCAACTTCAAAACGGAAAACCCTTTCGTCTAGCGGTTTTTCCGTCTTGCGAGGCATTCGTCTTGCGGGGCACCACTGTATATCCAATCCTATGTCATAGGCTTAGGCTGGATTGCCCTTGACTTGCATGGTTTTCTGTATCATGCCAGAGCTGGCTTCAGTGTTCCCCATACTCTCAATCTTCATCTTTCTGTAGTCCTCCTCCTCCACTCATCCCTTCTAGAGACATTTTAACAAAATATTGCCAGTGAAATATTCAACCACACTTCAACTTCAGCCAAGGAGAACTGCTGTCTCTATTCTCACCTGTCATTCTTTTCCCAGGTTCCTTTTGTAGCTCAGTTTGTTTCCCCCTTGAGAATATTGGCTGATACTTGGCATTGTGAAAGCAGCTCTTGCCACTCATGGATGAAAACAAACAAACAAATGGAACTAACTTGACAGGTTTCTGTCCAGTTATGTGAATGCTACAGTGGAGGGGGCATGGTACTGCCTTGATTAAGGGATTCAGTGATGAATCTACCCATCTTTGTGCAAGGCGAATATAACTATAGATTTAGGCCTGTGTCCAACACACGCTTTTTAGGGAAAGTATATTTTACACACACACACACACACAGAGAGAGAGAGAGAGAGAGAGAGAGAGAGAGAGATTGAGAGAAAGATTGATTGATTGATTCTTGGTAACACACCTGATCAGCCTGCTTCAGTCTGACTTGTGACCTAATTATAGCTTTGTAGGCCCTCATGGATGAGCCTCATCTCATGATTGATAATACAATATTGCTCCGAAATTTTCCAGCAGTTTGGACCATACAATTTGTTAAAATCACATTTTTGTTGGGATTTCAGGGCTAGTTCCCCAGTCATTTCTTTTCTTATAGAAGCAGTTGGTAGCCTCCAGCCTACCAGGCATCCCTGTCCAGCCCACCAAGGTCCTGGTCAATTCCCCCCCAACTCCCCATCCTAAAGGCAAGAGAAGCAGTTCCCCCTTTGCTGTCACTCGGCTTTACCTGAACAAATGATCAATGGGTGATAACAGTGGCAGGCAAATCATTGGGAGGGGAGGTTAAAAGTCTCCCTGTGATTCCCCCTTTCCATTGCTTAGCTGCTTGGGAATCAGCTGAAAAAGCAAAAAGAAGAGTTGCTCCAGCATTTCCCAAAGATTCCTGATGGATTCATCTTTTGCACTGTGTAAGAGGATCGTGTGTGTGTGTGTGTGTGTGTGTGTGCGCGTGCAGCAAGGAAATGCAGCATGCAGGCTATCCAGGAAGAGCAGCTGGTGGAGTTTCCTCTGTGCACTGAGAAGAAAAAACAGTGAGGGGGGGAGAGAGATTGAAGGAGAGCCTATATTAAATCTGTGTGTGTCTATGTTAAAGGGAGTGTGATGTCTGACTCACCCACTATTTAAATGCAGCCCCCAATAGCTTTGCACTAGGGTAATGAGAACTTCGGCCCCCCAAAAAGTTCACTGCTCTTAAGTCTGCTCAGAAACAGTCTGCTTAGATATGGGCAAAATGCTGTGGGGTGTGTTCCACAAGGCTATGTGTCCATTCCAATCTATGTTAAATCACTTGGAAAGATCAACTGTAGCTGTAGAGTAGAAGTGGGAAGCCTCCAGTCCACGGACCAAATGTGGCTCTCTAGGACTCTTGTTAGGAGCTTGGTATTCTCATTAGGCCACACCCACTTCTCACTGACCCTGCTCCATGCCCTGGCCTCAAGTGCTTTTTACTGGCTGAAATGTATTGCTGTTGGTGATAATGATGATAAATCCTTCCTTGACTGGATGGTGGACAGAAAAATGTGGACATTAGTGTAGAAAACAATATGTAGCATGCTGTAGAAAGAGTCACATTCACTCACTTTTTGCCTCTGGCCCCACCCACTGTTAGTATTAGGAGTTGTGACCTTAGGGCTGAAAGGGTTTCCCACATTTGCATTAGAGGGACGCGGTTGGCGCTGTGGTCTAAACCACTGAGCCTCTTGGGCTTGCCGATCAGAAGGTTGGCGGTTCGAATCCCCGCAATGGGGTGAGCTCCCATTGCTCGGTCCCAGCTCCTGCCAACCTAGCAGTTCGAAAGCATGCCCAAAACTGCAAGTAGACAAATACTTCCTCTGGCGGGAAGGTAAATGGCGTTTCCATGCGCTGCTCTGGTTTCGGTGTCCCGTTGCACCAGAAGCGGCTTAGTCATGCTGGCCACATGACCCGGAAAAACTGTCTGTGGACAAACGCTGGCTCCCTTGGCCTGTAAAGTGAGATGAGCGTCGCAACCCCAGAGTCATCTGCGACTAGACTTAACTGTCATGAGTATGCAGGTGTTCTGCATTTCTGTGACCAAATGTTCAGGACCTGCTGACTGTGCCTAGAATGGCTGCTTAGAGGTGATGTTCTGGTGATGTAAGGGCAAACATTCTGAAGCTGACTCTAGACAAGTCCAAAGTGATGCTGGTGGGGCACTGGCAGTGACTGGCTTGGAAGATGTTATACAGTGGTACCTTGGGTTAAGAACTGTATTAGGTTGCAATCTGCTTATCTGAACAGCAGAGCTTTGGGGTTCTTCTGGACCTGGCACTCAGCAGATCATATTATCAGAAACTTTAAAAAATGAACTAGAATTGGAAGAGACCATAGTTTTCTGAGCTTGAACATAAATGAGAAATGAAAGCAGCTTTCATTTCATACTCCGCATGCATGAATGAGAAGTGGGGAGGGGCAACAGTAAACCATAGTTAATTTGTGATCAGACCACAGCAGGGGGTCTCATATGAAAATAGGTGGATTCTGAGATACTCTGATCTCAATCCTTCAGAGGCTTTAGAAGTTGATACCAGCTCCTTGAATTGGGTGCAGAGTTAACTGGAAGGTCAATGCAGTTGTTCCAAAGCTGGCTGACCTTATACCAGCCTTGCCACGTCAGTTAGGTTGGATATGAGTGGTGGCATTGAGCATTGCCTGGAGTTTCTGAGCTATCTTCAAGATCAGCCTTGTTTAAGATGCTTTAAATTAAAGAGGTTTGGGGAGCATACAGGCGCTTCTGGAGGTAAGGTTCTGCGTGATTCTACTTCACTAAGTATTAACCCTGGGAGTTCTTTGCTGATTGAAACCTAATAAACACATGGTCATACGCAAATGGTTCAGCATAAGTAACCTGTTAAAATCATATTCCGTCTTTACTAATGTCTACAATTTTGGACGTAATAGTGTGATAATTCTTCTAGGCATTTCTGAGGTCAGCAATGGGACTTCTTACTCCTTCCGCTGCTCCTACTAGTTGTCCTGAGCACACCCAGCCCAAGGAGGACAAATGGCTGGTAGTTTAATTCTGTATTGAGAAAGCATGAACTTACAGGAGCTTATGAGGCACACACGTGCTTCTGGTGGCCAGGTGGCTGGTGCCCCTCCCTGGGCTTGTGCTCTGAGCTGGACTGTTGGAGTAATGGGTGGCCACGCCTACACCCAAGCTTAAGTACTCTTGCCTGGTAGCACAAGTGTAAGCAACCTGCAACTTCTACACAGAAGTTGTCACTGTGCCTGCCTCTTCAAGACCCTCCTGATCCCAGTGACAGTGGGGGCAGGGATTCTGCCCCAGCTCCCTTTGGGCACTGTGTTTCCCTCAGCAGACCCCTCCTCATCCTCTAGCTCCTGCTCCTGTCTTGCAGGAAGCACAAAAACCCATAAATAGCTACCCCATTCTCCTGGATCAGCCTCTGGCCCCACCACCTCTTCCACCCACTGCTTGGAGCCCTGCCAGTCCTTGACCCTAGCAATCTCCCACACTGCATTGCATTGTGATCCAGTCTGGGGAGCTTCAGTAAACTGGAAAGCAAATGGCAATGAGGAAACGCATGCCATAAGGTTCTCTGCATTTGGGCTTTAGCATTGAAAAGAAGGTCCAACTTACTACTTAACCTTTGTGGCAATGCATTTATTATGATTTGGAACCAATCAAAATGTAATTTTGTATTGCTGTGTGTGTGTGTGTGTGTGTGTGTGTGTGTGCGCGCACGCCAAGGCTAGGGAAGCAGCAGAACTATAATTTGTATTGACTTCAATTAGAACTTCCTGGTAGAAAGCATTTTTCATGTCACTAAACAAAGCTTGTTAAGGTTTAAAAATAAGTGAGTAAGGTAGCCAAGTTTAACATGGTTTATGTGATTATATGATCAGTTTAAAAACCTTCCACAAGATACAAAAAATACTATATTCAGCTGGGAAATGAAATAGCATGTTCTAATTATTTCTCTCAAAAGTCAACATTCAAAGTTCACAATACATTTTGGGGGACAAATGAACCAAAACAAATATTTCTTCTTTATTCTGCTGTAGGTCCTGGGGTAGCCCAGAATGGCTGCAGTGTCATATGATCAGCTGTTAAAACAAGTAGAGGCATTAAAAATGGAGAACTCAAACCTTCGACAAGAACTGGAAGATAATTCAAATCATCTTACAAAACTGGAAACAGAAGCATCCAATATGAAGGTATAAAGTTCATTTTACTTTAGTAAAAATTTGAATTGTCCCACAAATATATCCTATATGTCACCTTGTGCATTGATATTATTGTCTCCTCCCTTCTAGAATACAATTTATTTATCTTAAAAATATCTGTACTGCACTATTTCTTAGAAAAGTTCAAGTCAATGCTCATCTTCTGCAGGAGAACAATGCATTGTAGAGGAATTGCGTAGGATACATCTTGAATATGGTTGCATGATATCTATAGTCAAATAATTTTATTTATTTATCTAAGACCTGTATTTTAAGGCTATCATGTTTTGGCTCAAGCTTCACAGAGCTGGGAAATTGGAGGTAAAGTCTTGTGCTTTAAGAGACATGTCCGTGATCAGAAATGATGTTTTGGTTACTTAACAATTTACATTCATTGCACCCATGTTTTCCCTTAGTTTTTCATGCTTAATGATTTCTTCCCATCCATCTTTTTGTGTGTCTATAAAAGGCCAGTTTCCTTTGCTTTGTGTGCAAGAATAATAATTATGCTTTTAGAACTTTTAATATAATTCCCAAAACAATATTTTGGATCCTAGTATGCATGAATTAGTTTTCTGCTTTCCTTCCAAAAGCAGAAAATATGCCACATTTCTGCTTTATATATTGCACTGTGAAAGCATTCAGATACATCCGTTGGGCACTTTCTGAAAAATAACCATACAAAACAGGAATAACCATTGTGGATAAGAGATGCAGAGTTTTTTTTGCTTTGTTTAAGAACTTCATTTCTAATTCGAAACAGAACCATTCCATAGATGGGTGATCCTCCATGAAGGAAATAGCTGAGGGGTATTTCTTTAATTATTTGTTCATGGATTCATTGTATCTACTCGTTCTTCTGAAAGCAGAAAGCTAGGTCAAATAAGTTTTGAATCCTGTGAACTTTTTGCCCTGTAGCCATGCTTTTCAATTTGTTTTACTTATTGGTAGAGCTTCTATTATAAATAGAAAATCTTCCAAACATCTTATCTAGCAGTCTACCTGAATATAGGCCATTGAGCATTAAGGGCCTGAAAGCCTAATGGACTCTCTTAATCCATCATACACTGGTCTTCTGTTTGTTATGTTCTTTTGTTCTTAATACTGTTTTATTACCCATTCACTTTTAATATAGATATTGCAAATTGTACTGTTTGTGCATACAGGCACACTAAATAGCCTTGTACAATTCTTAGGATTTCTAAGAAACCCAAAAATCTGTGAAGTTTTGAAAGCTTCAGTCTGCCATCTTGATTCAAAATGGCATCAAATTGTATCCAAACATAGATGGGGAAAAACGTTTTCCTTGATCTCGGGAACCAACCTTGATCTCGGGAACCATCATGCAAAAATTGGCTACCATATCTTAAGAGGTGACCAATTTGGGAGGAGCAGCCCTTGCTGAGGCACTAACTGGTGACATAATTTAATGTTTCTCCTTGCCGCAGGACTTTAATTGCTTTGAGTGGTTGTTATATGCAAGCATATGATTAAAGCTACACAACTTCTGACTCATTAATGTACCCAAAAGTAAGCTTGTAAAATTAGATCTTAGGGAGGAAATTGAACGTGGTTTTACTGAGGACTCTGAGGAGGCTTCCAATATAAAAATGTCTAAAGGAAGCAACCACTCTCAAAAAGGCACGAAAGGGACGGCTAATATGGAGGACGATCAATACCCACATATATAAAATCAGAAAAGTGTTCTTGCCTAACTGGGTAGTGGCTCTTGCCCTATTTGAGAGAAATTTGAAACCTTGTTTGTGCAAATAGCAAGCTTAACCACAACAAAAAACGAAGCTATGAATGTGGGTTTAAGTAATCAGAAATACACTTGCTGCAAATGATGGCAGATGATTTGGTGTTAAGTTAGAGGAACTTTCAGACAGATATAGATAGAGGGGAAAATCAAATTTAGAGAATTTCCAGAGAACAAGGAATTGGGCTCACAAACCAGTTTATAATACATTGGCTGCATACATTGAACCTTAATATCTCTGTGTCAGCGCCCAACTTTGAGTGAGTGCTGGGAGGCAGTAGCCGGGTGGGCGAGGTCCTGTGAGATACAGTTGTAAAATTTGAACACTATAGAATCAAAGACTAGGTCCTTCAGTGTAGTCAGTTGTGGACCTACATTTTGGGGGCTTTTCTGAAGCTTGAACTGTCGTGGGGGCGCCTTCACAACCAGCAATGAGGTCTGCGTAATCATGGTTATCTTCTTCAATAGGGTGGTTCCACAACAGATCACTATACCTTTGCAACATCTGTGCTACTAACTCTCAAACTTTGGGATTGTTGAACTATATACAAAAAATAATAATTAGTTGAGAGTCGTCCAATCCAAATTGGGTCTACTAGAGCCATTTTTTAAAAGCAATGTGGACTAATGTTGCTACTGGGGCCCCTCCGGGATTAGGAGCCCTGAAGCTTAAACTTCATTAGTTTCATAGTAGATCCATCCCTGTGTGTAATGGCGCATCTGCCTTGTGGAATATGCTGCCCTTTGAAGTTAGACAGGCTCTGACCTTACAATATTTCACTAGATACTAAAAGCTCCCCTTTTCTACATGCTTTCCTCAATTAAAAGTTGACTCTCATGGAGTATCAGATTTCTTTTGGAAAACTGTTTTTTATCTGTATTATGTATTACATTTTTATTGTACACTGATGTATTGCTAATGTTTACTGGTTTATATTTTTTTCCAAATAAAATAAAATTACAGTCAGTTTTGGGGTGAATCTCTTCTGTTTATAATCCGTGTGAGTAGTACTGAAATTTCAAGTACGGTACTTTTTTGAATCCTTAATTGTAAAACTGTTTACTAAAAGTTTCAGCAAAAGCAACTAACCAGTTTTGGCCAAGGGTGAGGGAGAAAGGTTTAGTTTAGAAAAAAATTGCTGTTGGAGTGGGAGATGTTACAGAATAGTAACTTTTGGTATCTCACTGTGGTGTACTGCTGCTTATTTTCTAGGAGGTGCTGAAACAGCTGCAAGGAAGTATTGAAGATGAGGCAATGGCTTCATCTGGACAGATTGATTTGCTGGAACGTCTTAAAGGTAAACTTGGAAAAACACAGCCAGTTTTGCCAAACAAAAGTTGTCAGTGTAAATAATTGTTTATCTTGGATCAGAGATTACCATATGGGTCTTTAAGTATTTTTTGCCACACAAACTTGTTAAACATTCATACCTAAAGCAGGTGTTGCCTAACAATATGGGCTTTACAGCTATGAAGCAGGCATGCCAATTGCATTGCAATATCTCCTTTCTCTTGCAACTTTAATTTTTTAAAAATATTTTGTTATGAGGATAAAGTTACACCTTGATTAAAATTTCATAGGGCTGCAAGGCTTCTGATGAAGTTGTTTGGGTAGAGGGGGAATCTAACTCATAGACTACCATTTGATTATCCTGTTCATTGATTAATAATAATCTCTGCCAATTCTGACTATAACATTTTGACTTTAGAATTTATTAGGGCATTTTTTACCTGTTCCATCTATTAAGAGGAGAAAAGGTCATTTGAAAAATTAAGATGTAAATAGCTTTTACATATGTTAAATATCCGGCACTTTTTATTTCCATTCAGAATTGAACTTGGACAGCAATAACTTCCCTGGAGTGAAGTTAAGGCCAAAGATATCCATGCGTTCGTACGGAAGCCGGGAAGGGTCAGTTTCTAGTCGATCAGGAGAGTGCAGCCCTGTTCCCATGGGGTCGTTTCCTCGAAGAGGTTTTATGAATGGAAGCAGGGAGAGCACTGGTTATTTAGAAGAATTGGAGAAAGAGAGGTAATTTTTTTTATCATAGTTATGTGTTTTATGAAAATGCTTACATTTTAAAAGGCCCCCTCTCTTCTTTGGGTAGGGGACAAGGCAAAATATTTCAAGTCCTGTGTCCTGCCTGGTATTCTGATAAGTCATGTTTCCATTTCTACAAGTATGGGAATGTATGTTGAAACAAAATCTTCACTAGTGCTTTGCAGAACATCTGGATCAAATGTCCACCAGCATGAGCACAATCTGCTGCTCTGCTCATAGATCTCTCTATTGAACAAAAGCTACCCATGCCAACCCATGTGCTTGATGGGAAGGATATTCTGAAAACACAGCAGCTCCATGTTTCTCTCCTTAATCGGTATTCATGGAGAGGTGACTTATGCAGGCACTTGCCTCTTCCTTCCAATAATCTGTTTAGCTGGAAATCTAGACTCAAAGTTGCTCTCCATAGACCATAGGATATTAATACATACAGTTCATTAACTTATACGAGAGCATTTCAGAATATGCATATGTTTTAGTTGTTAATGACGTGTTTCATTCTTAATTGCAATTATCAAGGGCTTGGATCCAGGGGTGAGCATGCATAAGCAGAAGGCGTGTGAGGAGGGGTCCCTTGACTGAAATCTCTCTCATAGTCGCACATTCTCACACATTATTATATAGCATTATAGATGATCCTCTGTTCCTCAAGGGTGGCTTTTCAGATATGCAGGGGTCAGCAGAGAGAGGACAAGGGGAACCAGACATTGTGCAACCATGAAAGTACCTTCTGCTCACGCACAGGAATCTTTGGATGCAAGCTAGGAATTACGGCATATTCTGTATTCTGTATTTATACTTTGTTGGCTATGGGTTATAGGAGTAGACAAAATACTTAGTATCAGTGTCTGTGTGGCTTTACAGTATAATGTAGTGTGTAAGAAAAGAACAAACATCATTCCAAGAGACAACCTATATAATAATCATAAAGTTTGTAACATTTTATATTCTGCCCCTCCACCAAAGATTTTGAGCACAGATGGAGTATTTCCATTTTATTTGCACAACCCACTGAAAGAGGTTAGGGTAATAATAGCTTGCTAGGGTTAGCCAGTCGCTGTGAGGATTTTATTCTAGGTTCATTTCATGCAAAGCTATCTCATATGCCACATTGATTCTAAATTATAAACTTGATTTTGTCTTTCTTGAACAGTTGAAGCATAGATATTTGGCAACTGAAGTTATTCATTGCTGTTGATCTTGTTTCATTAATAGCTATTTCTATGATGATTTATAATTAGATACTACAATATATAATACAAGGTACAACTCAAGGCCCTTGCCCAGCTGCCTCCTCTGACAGAGGCTCTGAGAATGGCATCAAGGGGCAAAGGCCTCCTCGGTTGTGGCCCCCTGTCAATGGAATGCTCATCTAAATTATGCTTGTCTGACTCCAGAATTGATTTATTTTTTGTGCCAGGTTAAGCCGTTCCTCTTCTTCAAGGCATTTCATGGAATGTGTTCCAACTGTGTCAAGGCTTTATGCTAGTGTTATTCTGAGTTTCTTTTTTGTTTGTGTTCAGAAAAAAAGTAGGAAATGCCTTCTAGATAGATATTTGCACAAGTGTAAAGGAAGTCAGAGGTCATGGAATCATAATGGAAAGCAATTTGTGTTGTTTTTTCCCTTAAATTTTTTCTTCCACAAATTTGAGTAAGGTTTTTTTTTCAGTTGCAGTCCTTTAAAAAAAATTGTCTTCATAGAAATGATTTTATGTATGCTTCATATAGCTTTCCCTCTTATAAAGGCTGCAAATTGAACACTGAGAATTATGAAAACACATTTATAAAGTCAATTAACTTTATTTGGTTATTCCATTTAAAATGTGTACTTTAGTTGAACTGGCTCAGCAGGAGGCAATTTGACTCAGAAGATTTGTGTCAAACCCTGAGCATTTCATTTCTTGTTAGATACAATACAGCAGAGATGATTTATGACTAAAAGCTATGGCACCCCCGGCTATCGTATGTCCTACATAAAATGACAATGTTCTCCAACCCATTTCCCCATTGTACGCATAGGAGTCGCATTTCTTTCAACTTGATGTTGAAGAGACTGTTTTTCTACACCTGTTACCTTTTCAGCAATTGGACAACTTCTGCCATCTAATAGAGCTTAACGACTAACATTTGGTTCTTCATTTATAGGTCTCTCTTGCTAGCTGAGCTTGAAAAGGAGGAAAAAGAAAAAGACTGGTATTATGCTCAGCTTCAGAATCTGACGAAGAGGATAGATAGTCTTCCTCTTACTGAAAACGTAAGTGGGAATTGTAGTGACATATTCAGCCCAATACAATCAATATAAATTCAATTCCCAACACTGCACAAGTGGAAGCAGCTCACACAATGAATCCTTACCACAGTCTCCCCTGCAGCTCCTGAGAAATCTTTTGCAGAGGTGGGGTGGGGTTCCACCAAACATTGTGGGCTGTGACATATGGGGCTGCAGTGAAAAGACAGAATTGCCCCAATTCAAATGGAAACATTTTTGCACTCCACAGGTGCAAAATTAGTCTTCCTACTTTTAGGCAGTTCACACCTCCAGCTGCAGTAACACACCCATGATTTTTGATTGACTCTCTGGAGATGCTTTTCAGAGAGCACAAGAGGCTGAAAAGTGGGGCGGGGAAAACACCACTTTTGTGAGCTCCATTTTTTTCTTAGTTGATTTTTCTTAAAGTTTTCACAATACAATAAAATAATGTCTAGAACAAATAGAATTGAAAAGACAAGAAAGAGAAATGGGGGAAAGGAGGAAGAAAAGAACACAGAGATAAGAAACACCAAAGATAAAGGTGGGGGAAACTTCTGATTCTCTGTCTGCCGGTTACCTTAGAAAAGGTCTATTTAAGGCACTCAGTCTATCTTCTCCGCTTTGTTAAACCATATTTCTTTATTATTAATAATAATAATTAGCTTTACATCCATTAGTTCCCATCACCATTCCTCTGTATTGGATAATAGTAATTTCTTCCATCCATGTCCATATTAGAATTTCTCCACTGTGGTCACATATTGGAGCATTTTGCTTGTGCAACATTGGCGTTTTAACAATTAACTCCTGTGCAAAAGGCCACACATACTTACAGAGAATGGGGTAAAAGTGAGAACTTATACAACCATACCAATACCAGCTTCCATTTGCTTCTAGACTAATATCAGCATAGAAGGGGGAAATATCAAGCTATCTGGTCCCTCTTCCCCCTTGTCTTCCACGTAGGAGTCTAGTCTAGAACTTTTTTCCAGCCTTATGCAGTGTATCATTAGCTTATTTGGCAGTCTTCATGTTAGCATTAATAAAATTGCTTCTCGGAATGATTTACAATGGAACTTGATGCCAAACTGCAAAAATAATTAGTGTGCATTATAGACTTAGTTATGCTTTGTTGGGAGATTAGCCAGTTGTGTGTGGATGAGCAGTCACCACTATAGGGGTTCAGAGTTACATGTTTTCTCTAAATCTGTATGCTTCATCTATATCCTAGAATTGTGACATGGTACTTGGTTTATTGGGATCTGCCTTTTAAAAAGTTCCTAGCCTTCATGGCAGGAGCTAAAATGTGTAAATGTGAAAGACTGAATTTGGGTGCAAGGTCTCAAGGCATCCTTGTTTTTCGTTTAAATTTGTAACTCAATATATCTCAAGTATTCAGTATTAAAACAATCAAAGGATGGGGCTCTATGGACTGTATAGCTTCTTATACTTACCACATCCCACAACCTAAAGACAGGTGAGGCTAAAAAGAAACTGTGTGAATGGGAAGAGGATTCCTTACCTGACTAGTATTCTTCAGTATCTGTCCTTCCAACATCCCAAGAAGTTTCAAAAAGGAAAGTAGAGGAATAATGGGACCTTCAAGCTTGCAGATATTGGGATGGTATCTTACTACATTAGGGAAGGGAGTTAAGAAGTCAGCAAAATGCATGCCAATATTTTAATTGCCTTCTACATCTTTATAGATTTTCTTTTTTGAATGGCCTCATTCTGCCATTGTTGCAGTCTTTGTCATATTGGGCAAGAGACATTAATGAGGTGGTGATCTAAATTATAGACATAGGATCTTCATTTTTAAATTAATTGTTATTATATGAATGGTTTATTAGCAGCATAACTGAATGTGTTTTGGTTCTAGTTCTCCTTGCAGACAGATATGACTAGAAGACAATTGGAGTATGAAGCAAGGCAGATCAGGGCTGCTATGGAAGAACAGCTAGGCACTTGCCAAGACATGGAGAAGAGAGCACAGGTAATTATATAACAAGGTTTTACAAAAATTGAAAGAGTGTCTGTGCCAACAGTAAACTTAGTTAGCTTTCATAAAACTATAGTGCATAAATTTCTGACTGCATCACCAATAATATTTCTCTGCCTGTAGCAGGGGTAAAGGAACCTATGTTCACTCATGGGGGGGCTGCAGAAGCAAAAGCAGAGGGGGTGCACTTTCTCCTCCATCCTTGCACATGCATCCATACATTTTCACTGTCTTGCAATGCACACACTTTATTCTCTCTTCCCTCCTTAGTCCTGCTTCCCCATGCAGGCTTTTGAAACACTCCCATTTGGTACTAGTGGGAGCTTTTAAGAAACCTAATTGCTTCATAAAGGTGGGGGATCAGCCTTCACGGGAAGGGGAGAATTAACCCTTTTCTGTCTAGCATAGATCCTTTACAAACAGGGACCTTTTGATAGTAACGGAGGCTTTTTAAAAGTTTGATTGCTGTGGATGGGTAGGCAACAAGGTTATAAACCTGTATCTGAACTTCATTTTTCCAAGGTGAGAGTTGCTAGAATTCAACAAATTGAAAAGGATATTTTACGTATAAGACAACTCTTGCAGTCCCAAGCTGCTGAAGCAGAGGTTAGTATTTATTTTCTGCCCTTTATTTATGTACTGTACATGCATGTTTGAAACAAGTAAGTCGACCTGACTGAACAAGGAGCACCTTCTATATAAATAACCAATAACTCTTTGTGGTTACTCACCTGTGGCTGAGCAATTTTGTGTTGCTTTTAGTCAAGACAGCAGTTTCCTTGTTTAAAGAACTTGTATCCTGCGTTTCATCTTCGAGCGTGACGTATTCAAGGTAGCTCATATGATCAATCACTGAAACAGATCAGTAAGAGATACATTACAGTTTACTCTTGCTTTAAAGCTACATGGCATCAGTCATAAGAGAGAAACTCAAAGTAGCCACTGCTCAGCAATCCTAGACTCGCCATGAGATCAAATAAATTGTGCTGTTGGTGTTTTTATCTTCATTTTTTAATGAACCCATTCGGCCTCTGAGAGAGAAAATGCTCAGAGTTCAGGTACAGATATGTACAGCATTTTTAATCTCTATCACCTATGGTCTTTTTAATTATTGTGAGAGTTTGGAACCCTTTGCTAGCTATTGTATTCCGTGTCTGAAGTTTTATAGCTTTTGTAGTGAGGTCCTGCCAAAATATGTACAGGAAGTTGCATTCAGTTGCAGGGCAGGTAGAGACACAAGTGCCAGTGCCCAATTGGGACTCCTAAAGTGCACTTGTTGGCACCTCTTTGGGACAGCCTACTCCTTTCCAGGGACGCGGGTGGCGCTGTGGGTTAAACCACAGAGCCTAGGACTTGCCAATCAGAAGGTCGGTGGTTCGAATCCCCACAATGGGGTGAGCTCCCGTTGCTCGGTCCCTGCTCCTGCCAACCTAGCAGTTCGAAAGCACGTCAAAGTGCAAGTAGATAAATAGGTACCGCTATGGCGGGAAGGTAAACGGCATTTCCGTGCACTGCTCTGGTTCGCCAGAAATGGCTTAGTCATGCTGGCCACATGACCCAGAAGCTGTCTGCGGACAAACGCCGGCTCCCTCAGCCTGTAGAGCGAGATGATTGTGCAACCCCAGAGTCCTCCACGACTGGACTTAACGGTCAGGGGTCCTTTTACCTTTACTCCTTCCCAAAGTGGACCAGGTGATGAGCTGATAGGCAGTGACTCCAAGCCTGCTGGATTGACTGTGCAACAGAGTTCCCAGTGAGCAGCTGTTCTCTGCAGAAAGCAGGCTTGAAATCACTGCCTGTCAGCTGATTGACAGTAAAGTCAAGCCTCACTTGGCTTGGATTTACTTTTATAGTGCAGTACAAAGGAAAAATTGGTCACTTGATATCAGGTGATTGGCAGGTGGGTAGGGCTCTGCCCATCTGTTATAATGGCCTGCCAGGAAGAAACCCAGGATCTGGCTGGCAGGTTGTATCCAGTTCCCCACTCCTTGTCTACATTACCTGATAATTGTTCTGCGAGGTTTCCGACAGACACAATTCCCACCTTATCTGGCAATATCAGGGAGCTGATATGAGTTTGGTTTTGGTTTTTGCATGAAAGCATATGCTCTACCGCTGAAATACAGCTCGTCCCAGTCTCTAAGCTATGATTAGAAGATCTGGAGTACTACGTGTGTTAATTTCTCTTTCCTTCTTATCTCATGTCCAAATTTCCTCCTTTCACCACTTCTCCTTCCATTTCAGGCTCCAATACTTTTTCTTTTAGACATCTGTCCAATACTGGACTGATTTCGAAGACTTGGCTGTTTTAAATTGACTGTTCCCTTAGCTTTTATTTTAGTGATGTTATACCCATGATTGATTATTGTTTGCTGGTTTTTGATCTTCTTTGTTGTAAATTTCTATTAGATCTGTACAGGTTTTTTGGTATGGCAGCGTTGTTGTAGGAGGTTTTCTTCAGCTGCTTTGAATATAAGTGCTTTAAATAAATTATGGCACTAACCATGATTAATTTCAAATCAGAGTTTGCAAACTTTTAGCAGAAGATTGAAACTAATTATGTTGGCTTCATGCCTGTCAGACATACTGCATCCTGGTTAGCTGGAAAAAGGGAGAGGGCTGAGATGCTGGGTTCAGTAAAACAACACTTTATAAAGATGGTTACATTTTGCTGAAAATGAAACTTATAGATGACTAAATAATGGAATTCAGTGATTTGAATATTTGTTAAGATAGTTGCTAGAGAGCCAACTTGGCTTGGAAAACACTAAGAGAATTAAGATTCCCTGGGTTACTTGTATTAGAGCTCCCTGATCACACATCCCAAGATACAACAACATGATTTGTGTGATTAACTGGGCTGGAAAATTATTTCTTGTTTCTTGCTACCAGCCTTAATTTTTAGGTGTCGACTGTGCATGGGTATGTATGAATACCCTTTTCTGTGTCTTTAGTAGCAGATTCTTAGTCTGCTGTGACTCCCCTCCTCCCTTTTTTAAGCTGGTAAGATGGCCTTTGTAAAACTGTGTTTCTCAAATTCCATTATCCAAAAACTTTTAAAAGGGGTATGTGGGTCTCCCTCAACACAGAAATGCACACACACAATATATTTTCTATGTTTGACCCTCTGTCCCCTCCCCCCCCCCCCGGTAATTAAGCTTGAAAAATGACTTTAATGCAGCTGATAGGTATTTTTATATAAATACTATCTCTTGCTTTTTCTTTAGTATTTGGTTAATTAGCATATTCTGTATGTTTGATTACTCCCCCACCGCCCCGCCAATACAAAGTTTCCCTCCCAACTCCCTTTTGCATTTTCATATTTGTTTTTTTTAATCGTGTTCAGCTTAGTTCTGCTGCTTGCTATTTTCAGTAGATTCATTCTTAACGTTTGAAGGCATGCTTGCTTGACAGATGTCTTGGTGGGGGAGGGGAGCAGGAGAAAGCTGAGAGGGCTTATTCTGAAATGTAATTGATTAATTTATATAAATGTGTTTCTATCACTGTGTAATGTCATATACAATATAAGTGTAGCTCACATTTAATAAAAACATAAGAGCATAAGAAGAGCCATTCTGGATCAGACAAAAGGCCCATCCTGTTCTGACAGCTGTCAACTAGATTCCTGTAGGAAGCCTGTAAGCAGGATGTGAGTGCAAAAGCACTCTTCCTACTCGTGATTCCCAGCAACTGGCAATAATCCAGGGATGCCAACAGGATTTCCTGGACCTGGTATGCTGTATGTAGATTAGGGCCCCTACACTTCCCCTCCCTGTCTCACAATCCAGTGGCAAGAACTGCTGCATATGTGCATATATTTACTTAGCCTAGCCTAGCCTGTTTCACAGGGCTGTTGCAAATATAAAAAGTTTGGGAGGGGAGAGAAATCTACAAGTTGCTGGATAAAAAAGCAAGATGCAAAGATATGTCAAACAGCACATAGTTAAACTGTGCAAAACACTCACATAGGAGGCAGTGAGAGCCACCAATCTGCCTGGCTTTCAAAGGGAATTAAACAAATTCATGGAGGATAAGACTATGCTCTGGCTCCACAGTTGCCTGAATACAGTTTGCTGTATTCCCAAAGGACGGGGAGGGTTTCATTGCACTTGCAGGCATAGAAAAGGGATTGGCCACTGTGAGAAGAGGATGCTGGGCTAGATGGTCATTGTCCAGCAGGGCTTTTCTTAAATTCTTCGGCAATGTCATTCAAATATAATTTAAAGGAAGCCAGAAAAGAATCTTCCTTGCTTTAACTGCAATGTTTCATAGGCCTGATGTTTACAAGATGGGTGGGGTATAAATAATAAATTATTATGATTATTGTTATGATGATAATGATGATGATTACCCAAACGGGGAAATCTTTTTGCCAACCCTTATATATGATAACCAGCCAAAAATACTTTAAAGTATGTGAATATCTGAACTACCAACTGTCAGCCTGGCCTACGTCGCAGGGCTGTTTTGAATATAAAAAAGGGGAGGAACAGAGACAGTGATCACAGCCTTAAGCTCCTGGGAAGAAAACCAAGATACATATACAGTCAACTTGCATCTTTTGCTTATTTAACTTGTGCAATTTCAGCTTTACATGCTCCACAGCCAGCCAACTGAAATTGGACAAGCTGAGATTGATTCAAAGCTCTTTTCACACTGGGTTTTCTCGGCGCAGAAAGAGCTTTTAAGTTCTCAGACTTGCTTACCGAGCTCTGGGAAGCTCTTGCACAGGCTCTGGGAGTCTCTCACAAAATCTTAGCAGTGGTGCTGCCTGCCAAGTGCTGAAGCATTAGAACTGCCTACGCATTTTGTGCTCTGACTTCCTTCAGAATTGTCCAGTTGACTTTGTTTTAAAGCACTTGTATCCCCCTGTTGGTCTTGCTGTCCCTGTATCAGAAGGAGAACATATCAATGACTACTAGCCACAATGGCCAGCTTTATCCTTCATTAATTCATCTAACCCTCCACTAAAACCATCCAAGTTGGTAGCCATCACTACATAATGTGGAAGTGAATTCCATAATTTAACTATGTACTATGTGAATAAGTACTTCCTTAGTCTCTCCTAAATCTTTCAACATTTAGCTTCAGTGGAGGTCCCTGAGTTCTGACTTTTATCATGGATGGAGGGGGAGAAAAAGATTGAACATACAGTGGTACCTTGGGTTACATACGCTTCAGGTTACAGACTCCGCTAACCCAGAAATAGTGCTTCAGGTTAAGAACTTTGCTTCAGGATGAGAACAGAAATCGTGCTCCGACGGCGCAGCGGGAGGCCCCATTAGCTAAAGTGGTGCTTCAGGTTAAGAACAGTTTCAGGTTAAGAACAGACCTCCAGAACAAATTAAGTTCTTAATCCGAGGTACCACTGTACTGGATTATTACTGTAGATTATTTTGTGTCCCAGTTTATTCTCTAATAGCCCCATGTTCAATTTAATTATTGCCATTAGCTTCAGCCATAGAACCGCACAGTCTAATACAGCACTGAACTTCTTGAAATGCACATGGCCATACAATGTTTGCAGGTGGTAGAGATCTAACCTTTTTTATAGTGGGGCCAGTGATTCCTTTAAAACTGTTCTATAGGGGGTTTTTTTATAAGGGATGTATAAATGAAGCTTCAGACAGTAAAAAACTGAATAAAGGTGTATCTCCTGTTCTGTATGCAGTTCCTTGTGCATTTGAGTCACTTTTAAAAATAAAATTTCACAACCTTTAACTTTCATTACCTTTAAGATGGTATGAAAAAATCTGGGTTTTATTTTCTATATATTGGCTTGCCTTTTTAATAGGAAAAAGCACTGTTACGTTGCCCAATTTTATTCATTGAGTTGCAGAACGATTAGTCTGGGGACAAACCACTTGTCTTAATTTCTTTCACATTAAGATGGATGCTCCGACATGTGTCATGCTATAACTAAATTGTGGAAAGCTTCCAAATAGTACAAAACGGGTGTACTATGTGTATTTTGGGCTATCCACCCAGAAGGTGTTTCTATTTGATTGCGAAGCGTAAGTAATATTTTAACTGTTCCAGTCATAGCCTCCAGTAAGTGCATAGATCATGTGACATTGCAGAGGAGACAGTTGTTTGCTCCAATTCTGTTACATTTCTGATAGTGATGTGAGCACAGCTGGTGGAGGATGGTGTTTTGTATCTCACAGCAAATCCTTTGTCTTCTAGAGCTATAATCCTCAGAGGACATGCTTCACTTTCATCCTGCAATTTTGCTAAGGCGGTCGCTCTCGGCTGCTAATTATTGAGGCTAGAGGTTATGAAAAATAAAGCATAGTTCAGTGGTTCGTGAAGCTACAGCATTGACGTGTTCACAGTTTTAAGCTTAAAGTGGAAACGTACTCCATTTCTGTGCGTAATGTCGCAAACTCTTACATTGACAGAGGGCACCTCCAAGCAAGCACGATGCAGGCTCGCATGAAGCTGAGAGGCAAAATGAAGGTCAAGGAGCAGCAGAAATCAGCGTGGCAACTGCTGGCAGTAGTCAGGTAAAGTCAACATTTTATTTATAAGTAATGCTTCAACATATGGTGCTTGGGGAGGTGGGATACAGTGTTTCTGCTATGGCAATATAATTGTGCGCGAATGGATTCCTTCAGGTGCACTAAATCAGAGAAGGCTTTGTGCTGGAGGAGATGAGTGCTCTTTAATCTGATACAAAGGAATGTACCATATAGATAGAATTTAAATGTTCTACACTGTAAGCAAGTACAGTACAGATTGCTATTGTGTGTAAATTTAAGGGAAAGGAGCCTTGCATGGCTATCAAATTCATGTTGATATAGCCAGGTTTTCAAGTTAAAATGTGATTAATACAGGGAATTTTCTTTGATACTATTTTAAAATGGCTGCTAATTCTGCATTATTTTTATGGCTTCAAAGTAGAAGCTTATGATTATAAATTTGGGGGGTTTTGTGGAAGGCAGTGTTATAAACCACTAGAATAATAAATTATCATCAGTCAAATTGTTCATTTATATTGGAAGCAGATATATTTTTCATTATTTCCTGCTGTTCCTTTGCTATGTATATAGTAATATGATTGTTGTCCAGTTGTGTTTTCATCATGTGGAACATTTTAAACATACAGTTTAAACCTGATTTGCTCTGATTTAAAACCAATTAAAAAAATGTTCTTGTAAATAAGCTACAGCATACCTTGTATGGGACCTTAATGTGGATGAGCTCAGGAGGTGATGAGAAAAGTGTCTTATAGCCAGAGAGCTTGGTATGAATAACCCTGGTGTTTTAGAACAATTCTGACTTTTCCTCATAAAAAATTGTGCTTATAGTATTAATCTTATTTCCCCACCCCCACTAGCTTTATGGATATGAGTCATTCAATCCATCTTGCTATGAGACATCTGGAGGATTACCTCCTTTTTATGCAAGGCCAGGGGGAAAAGGCTTAATGGACTGGGCACCAGTATTTCATTTCTGGAGCTCAGGTCAACCTACCTTATGGCAGAGGATATTATTACTAGAAGGCAAAAAATAAATAAAAATAAATATCCTGGTCAAGCCCAGACATTTTTTTGATAGTCAAATGAATATTAGACTTGATGATTTGGCTACCATAGTATTTTTCAGAAGGCGACACTTCTTTCTGCATGACTGCACTGTTCTGCATGCGCTCTGCTGCATTTAGGGAGAGCAAATGAAATTCGCTGAAATGTGGATGCTCCTAAGTTAGCTGAAGGATAGAAGTGAACTTCATTTTTACAAGAAAAATCCATTTGGCGATGTGTTCAATGGAGAGAATATTAAAATAAGAATAAAAAACTGCACCGCGTGAGATGAGAATAGAGTTGAAGACAGTAGGTTGGGAATGTACCAGAAATAGTTGTGTTGATGAGAAAAAAATAAGAGTATATTCAAGCAGGATCAGAAAGGGTTGTGGCAGAGGTAGAGTGAGTGTCCAATAAGAGATGGGGATTGGTACATTCCAAGGACTCCTGTTTGCTACTGTTTTCATAGGTTTGGGGTATATTTAACACTGGTTCTGTCTTCATAGGATTAGTTGACAAATACAGTTCAGCATAATTTGGGTCTTTTGTCAAATTCAGGGCTTTCTAACAAGTTCTTGAAAAACAAATTGATTGGTCATCTTCATAATTGCCAATGTTTAAGCTCTATAGCTTATCCAAAGCAGGTTTGATTATTATAAGGAATTTAGTATTAGGTTCCATGGACAGATCATTGCAGCCGCAGTGCTTTCGCTTGTGTACTTTTCCAGCTATTTCTGTGGCAGAGGACAGCTTAGTGTAAAGACTCTCTTCTCTTGCTCTCTCATAATCACTGCCTTATTCATCATCAGTTTTTCCCTTATTTACACAACCAGTTTTACTGTATCCTTTTCATCCTTTTTTTTCTGCCCTTGCTTGAATTGTTACAATTTTTTTTAAAATTTTGGTTAATATATTGCCTGTAGCAGGGTTGATCAACCTGTGACCCTCTAGATACTGAAAAAGGACAGCTCCCATAATCTTTGGACCATTGGCTAACATGACTGGGACTGATGGGAGTTGTAGTTCAACAGCTGCTGTTAGCCACTCCTGGCCTAGAAGACCTACCTATATTTGAAGTAATGGTGAGGTATTTGTATGGGCAGGCTTTTCATGTGCCCCTTGGAGCAACTGTGTGTGTAGAGCACCATCCTTGGGCCACATAAATATAAACACTTCTATTAAATAACCTTTTAAATATATATGCATTCTGTGAGGGCCTTGGCTAGCAAGTGTCATTTACAAACCAAAATATTAGACAAGAACCTTACTATTTCAGCGAAGTCTTTGGATTTAAACTCTACCCGTCACAATTTCAAAAAAAATTGAGTAAATATGCTACTGCTTTGCCATTCCCCTGGAATAAGCAGTACTTATGCAGAAAACATAAAAAAAATGATTCTGAGCAAGGAGGCTGCCGGGAAGGAGGATGAGAGGAGCAAATTGCCTTTGGACCAAGCACAGAATTAAAAAGTCCACTGATTAAAGTCTGTCCCACTTTCAGCTCTATACTGTTGGACCAAACAGCCAAGTGGCAAACCGCACTATCTGTTGTCCTATTGCTACTTCATCTCTGAACTTTCTTTCATTCCTGGAAAATACTCACTAATGCAGGCAGCTGCCAAGCTTTTTGTCTTGCAACCATTGAGGCAAAAAGAACACAATAAACGCAGGTTTCCTAATATTGGGCTTGGTTACCTTAGCTGGCGAAATCCATTATGCGCCCCCAATCTTTTGGGAAGTGGTAGGGGAGGTGTTAAGCCCAGATATGAGTATGCTATAATTATTTCCACTACCCTGCTGCCATCATTTGCAGGCAACTCCCCGTTTGCACAGGAATTGTGTTCTGAAACACCATGTGCATTGGCAGGGTGCGTGTAAGTCCATTCCACCACTCCTTCTGGGGCCAAAAACTGTGTGTGTGCTGAACGTGTGCAAGCAGGGAGTTACTTGTATTCAAGTTGGACATGGAGTGCATGTGCTTCCTTTCCACCATTTCTGGATTTCTTTTAATTTTGAAACAGTAGTAGGAATGTAGAGGAAGGTAAACATGGTCTGACTTGCTTATGTGTTGAGAGTAAGATCCTGATCTGGGTGGAGAACCTCTGTTCTGGGGGCCTAATCAGACCTGTCAGGTCAACCCTAACCCTGCCAGGCAGTTGCAGCCAGGCCACACCCACCAGCCCTATAACTAATGACAGGTTCAAGGCAGATAAACGACCTTCCTCTCCTGAAAGGGGTCTTCGGCTGCTGCTGCTCAGCTAATTGGCAGGGCCTGGAAAGTCCTGTGCAAAGGGCTCCACAATGGGATCGTGCCAAGTGATTTGCAATGGGCTTCTTAAGAGCCTGCATCTAGCTGATTGTCTGGTCTTATGGTGCACTTTAAAAGGCATTTTACATTTCCTTGTGTGGTTTCACTTTGTTGTGACATCAGGTGATTGACAAGTGGGTAGTCCTAGGGTGGGCGGGCAAATAATGATCAGGTCTGCAAGCCGAAACCTTGCATAAAAAGGTTTTAGAGTGCCCTAGTAAGAGCTCCCATTCCACTTGTCTCCCCAAAAGATGAATATTAGAGGATGCCAGTGTGATTAATAACTGCTGCATCTCATAGGTAGAAGGCAAGAAATACCTTCATTCTGATGATGATAATAATAATAATAATAATAATAATAATAATAATAATAATAATTTTATTATTTATATCCCACCCATCTGGCTGGGGTATAAAAAAAACATAATAAAATTCTGCTTGGAAGCCAAAAGCTTCCACCCTTGCGTCCTGTCCTCCTAATAGCCAAATGTAATGTTTGGTATTCACAATGATCTTTTGGGTGCTTGTACGTGGAAAGGTTAATGGGATTTCTTACCCAAGTGGCTTTTCCTGAGGTGAAGTAATGATTAAATGGTAAGAGGATATTATGACCTTTGCCACATAATCTATCCTAAGAAAACTGGGATGTAAGTTATTAATCATTTAATTGATGTGCTCAGTATTGAGTCCCCCAGATTAAATTTAAGTTGATTCCTGTTCAAAATTAGTAGAAATAGAAAGTATATACTATATACACAAATGTAAGCTTCTCACATTTATGGAGAAATGGTCTCCCTACTACAGAAACTTTGAAAAGGGCACTTTCATTGAGTTTTGCAATAATTTAAACTTAGTTGATCATCTAAAAGCCAAATAGTAAATAAACTACACATCCTTTAACTGGACAACAACCCAGCAAATGCTATGATGTCACAGTCACACTTAACTGATCACCCCTAAATGAAATTTGGGTAGTCACTTCATTGCCTAAAGAGAGAGGAGAGAGAGAGAGAGAACGCAATTGGTATGACTAAGCGCATCCCTGACATTGAGAGGGGTTGTTAGTGCAAGTGGAGGAGAAAAGAGCAGTAATGCTGAAATTGTGCTTGAAAATGCCACCTGGGAGCTGAATACCGCTGTGAGAGAGAATTGTGTTGGTTGGCCCAGAGGGCTATGGTTAAGGGAATGAAATATTTCTCACAAAAAAATGTTACTTTGTGAGTGCAGCACTTCCTATTCTCGTATCCCCCAATGTAAATGACATTGTTAACAATTTAAAAGATTCTATTTTTGTCATTGCTGGCAAAATGGCTAACTGCATGTTGTTTTTGTGACTCAGGTCACGATGCAGCTTTCCCTCCTCTGGCACAATTAAATTTTTACAGAGTTGACATGTCAGCTTAGTTTAACCCTAACTTCTAAATCGTGATGCATTCCAAAATGCTGAAATTTTAAAATGATTTTGTGTTATGCTAATGCTTTCATTGCCAAATTGTTGATTAAACTCTTAGGGTTCAGCTGCTCGTATGGACCATGAGACGTCAAGTGTTATGAGTTCTAGCAGCAGTTACTCTGTTCCTCGAAGACTGACAAATCATCTAGGTACTAAGGTAACCAAAGTTTGTCACAGGCTGTTAATGCCACATTTTACACTTAAAATATGTTAGTTTTGAGAAAGGGTAGTAATATTGATAGTCCCATTGACGGAAAAAGGGGTTAGATAAAATCATTATAAAGTGTTGTGGTGTTACGGAATTTTCATTTGAAACCAAGCTGAATTTGAGTTTGTTGGTGCCTCTGGTAACCTCTCTCTTACATCATAGATGTTGGCTCATATTATGGATGTATTGTTTTATTGGTACTGTTGCTGCAGGTTTACCTTTGACTTGAACAATAAACTTATATTGACTGATTGATTGATGTTCCCTTTCAAACCTGTCTGGCAACCTCCAATTAGCTGATCTTTTTCTGTCCAACTGGGCAGTCATTTTGCAGGGAAAGTCTCATGCTGCTTTTGAAATATTATTGTGGCCCTTGAGATGGTTTCAGCTGCCCAGTATATACTGACGCATTGAGTGTGTCAGATGACCTTGTCATGTACAAAATCTAACAAGTCTGTCAATCTTTAGTAATTGCTTCAGCATTATAGAATGGAAGAATCAAAGCAGCTGCCACAGTGCTACTACTAGTATTTCATGATGTGGCATTAGATTCCTGCTACATTAAAAATATGAGGAGGGTGTCATTAAGCTTTTCTGAAAATGCATAATTGTTTATGAGTGCCCTGTCCTGTTTACAGACAAGAGTAACGTATAGTGAATCCTCCACTAATTTTGGTGATACAGTTTGTACTACTATGTCAACATTATTTTAGCTGCCTACGAATAGTGCAATACAGAATCTGTAATGTTGAGAGTTGCTAACCTAGGCCCAAAGGCTTAATTCATCATCAATTCATCAAAAATTCTCCTGGTGGCATATGCCATCGCTTATACTTTAAAAATTGGTAACATGTTTTTAAAAATTGCTTTCTTTGCAGGTTGAAATGGTGTATTCATTGCTGTCCATGTTGGGTACTCATGATAAAGATGACATGTCACGAACTTTGCTAGCCATGTCTAGCTCCCAGGACAGCTGCATAGCTATGCGCCAGTCTGGATGTCTTCCGCTCCTCATTCAACTTCTGCATGGCAACGATAAAGACTCGGTGTTGTTGGGAAACTCCCGGGGTAGTAAGGAGGCCCGTGCCAGAGCCAGCGCAGCACTGCATAATATCATTCACTCGCAGCCTGACGATAAGCGAGGCAGGCGAGAAATCAGAGTCCTTCATCTTCTAGAACAAATCCGAGCTTACTGTGAAACGTGTTGGGAATGGCAGGAAGCACACGACCAAGGCATGGACCAGGACAAAAATCCAAGTATGTCGTGGTGTTTAAAGCTTTTACTTTAAAACCAGTGTGAAGTGTTTTTTCATGTTACGGCTTTGAATCTGAGTTCTTTGTAGAACAAGCAGTTTCAAGCAAGCTGTGTGAGTGATGAGACCTCTGGTTACAATGGGCATATCTGCCCACAATAGCCCATGTCGCTTCTGCTTGGTTTTCCTATAATTCCACTCTGTTCTACTTTAATCTTCATTCACTACCTTAAAGTATCTTAAGCCTCAGCCATTTATCTGCAATATTTGTACCCAAATTCTTCGACAACCTCAGCGTCTAATTAACTATACATCCAGATGGGCTGGATGAAGACCAAGGTGGGAAAGCAGAGATATGAGACAAGCAGGAGTAGCAGCTTTCTCTTTATAAACAAGGGAAAATGCTGACTAGGAAAATGACTTCTTACACCCAGAGGGAGATTGCAAAGGCAGAAACTTAGCAGCAACAGAAGGAAAAGAAGGAAGACTCTTAAGAACTGTAGTTGGTGGAGGAAGGCGGGAGGGGTAGGCAAATTCCCCTATGATAACATTTCCCCATAATGCATTAGGGCTCCTAGGTCCAAGAGCAGAGACCCAGATTGGCTCCAAGCCCTTCCCTGTGACACATACTGAAGACTCCTCTCTTTACCTTGGCTTTTGACAGTTATTTTTTGTGAGCCGCCGCCTCTGCTGAATTTATAGTGCTCTGCTCCAATTTTCCATCTGTTCTATATGCTTTAAAATTGTTCTGATTTTCATCTGTTTTATGTTTTTATACGTTGTAATGTAGCCCACCTTTCAGTCTCATGGTGAAGGGCAGGTAATCTTATAAACAAATAATTAAAAAAAAAAAGGCCTGAGTTCTTGTGTGGCGTTCCATGTATATAAGGAAGGGAAACCTTTTTGGCTCTGCAGGCCAGATCCTGGTCAGGTTTACCCTCATGAGCCAAATATAGTAGATGAGGACACCCATCTATCAATCACCTCGTATTGGGTGACTTGTTGCTTTGAAGTCCAGATATGCAGAATGTAGAAACTGTTTATTTCATAACTGTGTAGGATGTCTCCCCCCCCCCTAATTAGGTTGCCTTTCAGGTGTCTAATAAACAGCTTAGAAACTAAACCTCTCTAAGCTTTGCTTTGTTAAATAACTAATTGATGAAGTAAATAGTAATTATTTTCCTTGTTCTGACAAGTGCCGGCTCCAGTGGACCATCAGATCTGTCCTGCAGTATGTGTTCTTATGAAGCTTTCATTTGATGAAGAGCACCGTCATGCGATGAATGAACTTGGTAAGAGTGGAGCAAAAAGTATCGAGAGTATATGCTCAAGATCACATTACATGGATTAGTTAGAGCTTTAACAACCTGATAAAGAAGATAAAGTGTTAGATTTTCTTCACCCTTTCAGTACATGAATGCTTATTGTTTTAAAATTGTTATCTTGGCTCTGGAGAATGCTGTAGCTCCTTCTATTTAGATAGTTTATTGAGCTGGGTATCTTTATCCCCAACCCATTTGTTCCATAGCTACATAGTTGCATATATGCAGGAGGAAACAACAGTGGTCCTGACAACAGTGGTCGTTAGCAGCTTACGTGTTGCTTTTCTTTGAGTTGTGTTCACTTGCGACATTTGCATATAAGACATAGGGGGGAAATTCATCTTTGAATGCTTAAAGAGTGTTTGTTATCCGAAAAATGCGATGTGTACAGATAGCAGGTTTTTTCTGATTTGTAGCAAATTGGTTTGCTTTCTTTGGATTCTTAATACTTCCATGAAATGCTCCCAGTACTTTAAAAACAATTCTTAGTTGCTATAGTATGGATCCCTTGTAACTATCCCCTTGCTTTTTCTTTGGCCTTGGAAAATAAATGGCAATAATTATTTAGAATAAATTATTCGGAATATTTAGAATAAAATTACAGTGGTACCTCAGTTTACAAACTTAATCCATTCCGGAAGTCCGCTCTTAAAGCGAAACCGTTCTTAAAGTGAGGCACGCTTTCCCCAATGAGGCCTCCCCCCGCTGGTGCCCTTCCATCATTCAGCTTCTGTTATTAAACCAAGGTAGAGTTCGCAAACCGGGACACTATTCTTAAACTGAGGTACCACTGTACTTAGAATAAATTATTTACAATAAATTGTTTAGAAAAATAATTCTTTCTAACAAAAAGTTCAACTATGTTTATAGGAGGATTGCAGGCCATTGCAGAATTGCTTCAAGTAGACTGTGAAATGTATGGGCTTACTAATGACCACTACAGTGTCACATTAAGACGATATGCTGGAATGGCTCTGACAAACTTAACTTTTGGAGATGTAGCAAATAAGGTAAGTTAATTTTTCTTTTGCTATTTAATAGTTTTAATATTAAGACTTTCAGCATTTCAGCTGTTCTGTATATAATGGGCTGCTGTCATTAACTTCAGACAGCGGTGATACAGCTGAGCATGGAACTGAAAAATGTAGCTCTGCTTGTTTCTTGATATTCCTCAGCAGACATTGACACAGCCACAATAACACAATTAGGCTCTGTATTATTATCCCATGCCCTATGACTATTGTTAATTAATACTTTAATATTCTCCTTTGCTGCTTTTTTAAAGGGTATTTTGTATAGGTCATGAATTAGTTGACTATATTTTTACATCTGCACTTCATTGTAATTCTTGAACCTGCCACTATTTGGAATTTCTAATTCATCTTATGCTCTGATAAGCCAATTAAGTCTTTACCTGGAGAAGGTAGACTTGGCCATGGTCATTCATGCCCTAGTCCACTCCAGGTTGGATTACAGTAATTTGCTTTATGTGAGACTGCCATTGAAGATTGTTCAGAAACTTCAACTTATCCAGAAAGGTATACCAGTGTTTTGGTAGAGTCAGAGATGATCAAAGCATATTGCTCTGATTTTGTACCAATTACAGTGGCTCACTATTTGTTTCCAGGCTAAATTCAAAGTGCTGCCCTTGATGTTTTAAAGCCCTAAACTGGCTGGGCCCTCCACTTCCCATATGAAAGAGAATTCCATTCCACTACAAAGGGTCTACTCTGTTTGTGTGCCTTTGCCATCTCAACTGTTGTGAGGAAAGAGTTTTCTCAGTTGTGATGCCCAAATAATGGAACAGCTTGCCTAAATAAGTGTACATTGAAGACTGTTTTAGTCCAGCATGTGCTCAACCAACTCTGCTTCTTTTATTAATGTTTTAAATCACTGCTATTTATTATTTTGTTCTTTTGCTGTGGATTTATATATTTACTGTTTCAGCTTTATGAGTTTTAGCTTTATGAGTAGCTGTGAGTGCACTTAGTGCAGAAAAGTTGGATAATAATTTTCATGTTGTTTTATGTCTTTATTTCTGCTTGTAAAGAAAGTAACTTGTGACCTGTCAACATACTGCTTAGTAATTTGTTTCGTTATCTCCCTCTCTCTTTAATCAGGCTACGTTGTGTTCTATGAAAGGTTGCATGAGAGCCCTTGTTGCCCAGTTAAAATCTGAAAGTGAAGATTTGCAGCAGGTAAATCTTACTTGTGGAACTTTTATCCTACTGTGTATTGCATAGTTTTTTATTTTTTCATTAAAGAAACTTGATTGGGGCATCTTGATAGAACTGTACAACTTCTAATGTTAAGTGAGATTAGGCAAAGCCCAAGTATTTTATGCGTTCCTTAATGTAATACAAGTTGATCCACATAGTCTGAAAGTTCTTAGTTTGCATGTATTTTATTTGTATGCAGCTTTTCCACCAAAAACAATGCTCAGAGTGGCTTAACAACAATGAAACAGAGATGTATTTCAAACAAACACTACAAAAGCAATTACATAATAACATAGCAAAACAAGATCAGGTATAATAACAAAATTACTTGAAAGAAAAAAATAACAAGATCACAGCATCTAATAGCAAAAGTAACAAGGGAGCTCCACAGCTTCACCAATCTTCCCATGATGTGCTCACAGGGTGGGGTAGCTGGAAACACGCCTCCAATTTGTAATTTTACCACAGATACATAGAACTTGGAAAGAGTCATTCCAAAATATTCATCAGAATATTTGAAATCATATGTAGAATAGAATTTGAAATGAAACTTTGGGCAACTGAATTGAATTAAATTTTAAAATGAAACCCAATACATTAAATAGCTTATTATCATGCAAATCATGCATGCGAAACTGTTTCCTGGCAGTCAGCTAATATTAAAGGGTAGAAAACAATAAAGTTAATAAAGCAGATTGAGCTTTTTTATTTTTCCATTTTGTGCAGGTCATTGCAAGCGTGTTGAGAAATTTGTCTTGGCGAGCAGATGTGAACAGTAAGAAGACACTTCGGGAAGTTGGAAGTGTGAAAGCATTGATGGAGTGTGCTTTGGAAGTTAAAAAGGTTACCACAAAACCACATTTTTCAGTATTTTAAGTATATGAAGTTATTTTTTTGGTTTCCGTATTTATAGAAGAAAAGTGTGATTACTCTTTCCAACAGCAAACTAAAATACCCACTAAAATTGAATGGTTTTGTTAGTAACATTGGATACAATCCTCTGTTTAGGCAGAAGTAATTCCTACTGAGTTCAGTGAGGCTAACTCACTAATAATTAACATTGGAGTGTCATTCTTTTATATGCAGCAGACAATGAAGTTGTTACCACTAGCAAAATAAACACTAACTAACTGGTCTCACTGATGGAAGTGCAACAGGGCTCCCCCCCGCCCCGCAATTGTGCCCCCTCACATTTTGCTCATTTTTATAATAGTGTTGGTTTCCTCTCTTGATTATTATTATTTTACCAGTGTCAAAACATTGATTTGTTTGGTTTAAGGTTGCATTTCAGCCCTCTTAATTCAGTGTGCTTGCTCTCTCTACAGGAATCTACCCTAAAAAGTGTATTGAGTGCTTTATGGAATCTGTCAGCCCACTGCACTGAGAATAAAGCTGATATATGTGCTGTGGATGGTGCTCTTGCCTTTTTAGTTGGCACACTGACTTACCGGAGTCAAACAAATACTTTAGCTATCATTGAAAGTGGAGGGGGAATACTGCGTAATGTCTCCAGCTTGATTGCTACAAATGAGGACCACAGGTAAGTGTGCCATCTAGTTACCTAAGCAGTAAGCCATGCATTTTCTGCAAATTGCTGATGCAGCAGATGACATTTACTGGAAGGAGGCAGAGATTATGAGCAAAGTTAGACTTAGTGGTGTTGTATGCTGATACATAAATTATTGCTGCAGTGTTGTTGTTAGATGGCTCAGATAGCTGCAGCTTAAGAATTTTCTCTGGAACATAAGTAAGCATTTTATTTGGTAAGAGATTCCTGCGCTGCTTGTGATAAAAAATGGTCCCAGTTTTACAAATATAATATAATATAAAGGCAGTACATGATAAGCCCTGTTTTCAATAATGTGATGTGCACAGCACAAATCAACTTTATTTTAGTTTGTTAGTGTGGGATAAGCCTATTTAAAAGTAGGGATGTTCTTAGCTGAAACCTTGGCTGGAATCCAAAGGGATGCATTCTGCAGTCACATATGAATGCACACATCTTTCACTGCAGGTGGAACACTCTCAGAAAAGCTATCCCCGTAGGTAATAGAGACCCTTCAGAGTGACATCCCATACAAGTGTAAGGGTCTGTTCCCAGAAGGCAATATCTGTGTGTGCATATGGAAAAGCTTTATATTGTATTGAGTCTCCCCCAGTTTGGAGGTTTGCTGAATTCTTTGGTGGCCTTGTCCCCTGTTCCAACAGGGCACATGGTTTTGGAAAGTGGTTTGGGGGCAGCAGTGTTTAAGGGCTCTGGGATATTTTGGAGGGGGAAGGGAGTGCATACTATGGAAAATGGGAAGCTTCTAGAAGCTTCCTTTAATATATATTTTTTTAAATTCTCAGCAGTGCCATTAGATTGAGCACTGGTAGGAGAGGAAATTCCTGCTGCCATCCTGGCAACTTTTAAGCTGTTTTTAAAAACTAAAATAAAAAAATGGGGTGGGGCAGGGGGGAAAAACCCCAGGAAGCCATCTCTGTCACTGACAGAACCTTCCTTCCCCTCTGAAACATTACCCAAAGCAGAATAAAAGTTTCTATTCCAAGCTTGCCATTTGAGCCCAGGTGACAAATTGGGAGCAACAGTGTCAGTATTATCCTACAAACAGTTTCTGTACACAAATAGTCGTTATTAGATCCTGGTCTAAAATTGAATTTATGCTAATGCCTATTTATAGGATTTTGGACAACATTATTAGCAGGAAATAGACAGAGACACTTTTTTGTCTTTCATCTTGTTAAAGTGATTCCCTCCCTCCCCCCCCTTTTTTTTAATTCCAGGCAAATTCTAAGAGAGAACAGCTGTTTGCAAACCTTGCTGCATCACTTGAAGTCTCATAGTTTGACAATAGTCAGTAACGCATGTGGAACCTTGTGGAACCTCTCTGCACGGAATTCAAAAGACCAGGAAGCACTGTGGGACATGGGAGCCGTTAGCATGCTCAAAAATCTCATACATTCAAAGCACAAGATGATAGCCATGGGCAGTGCTGCAGCTCTAAGGAACCTAATGGCAAACAGGCCTGCGAAATATAAAGATGCTAACATCATGTCTCCGGGTTCAAGCTTACCATCTCTTCATGTTAGAAAGCAAAAAGCACTGGAAGCAGAGTTAGATGCTCAACATTTATCTGAGACCTTTGACAATATTGATAACTTAAGTCCCAAAACATCTCATCGTAATAAGCAAAGACACAAACAGAATCTGTACAGTGAATATGTTCTAGATGCTAATCGACATGAAGATGGAGTTTGCAGGTCCGAGAATTTTAATAGTGGCAATGTAACCGTACTTCCACCATATTTAAACACTACTGTACTGCCTGGCTCTTCTTCCTCAAGCAGAGGAAATACAGAGAGTTCTCGGTCTGACAAGGACAGGAGCTTGGATAGAGAGCGCGCAATGGGATTAAGCAGCTATCATTCAGCAACAGAAAATTCTGGGAGCTCCTCTAAACGAATGGGAATGCAGATCTCTACTGCTGCAGCCCAGATTTCCAAAGTGATGGAAGAAGTAAATATGCATATTCCACAAGAAGAGAGAAGCAATGGATCTGTAACTGAAATGCACTGTTTGCCAGAAGATAGGAATGCTTTAAGAAGAACAGCCACTGCCCATTCTCACACAAATACCTACAACTTTCCTAAATCTGAGAACAGGACATGTCCTGTGCCTTATGCAAAAGTGGAGTATAAGAGAGCTTCTAATGATAGCTTAAATAGTGTCAGTAGCAGTGATGGGTATGGGAAAAGAGGACAGATGAAGCCTATTGAGTCTTACTCTGAAGATGAAGAGAGTAAATTTTGCAGTTATGGACAGTACCCTGCTGATTTAGCCCATAAAATACACAGTGCTAACCATATGGATGACAATGATGGAGAGCTAGATACTCCAATAAACTATAGCCTAAAATATTCTGATGAGCAATTAAATTCTGGAAGGCAAAGCCCATCACAAAATGAAAGATGGGCAAGACCTAAGCACATAATTGAAGAGGAAATAAAGCAGAATGAACAAAGACAGTCCAGAAGCCAAAGTGGAGCATACCCTGTATACAGTGAGAGTAGTGATAATAAACACATGAATTATCAGTCAGCTTTTGGACAGACAGAGTGTGTATCCCCTTTCAGATCAAGGGAATCTAATAGTTCAGAACAGAACAGAGTTACCTGCAGTCACGGAATAAATCCAAAAGCGAACCAGTCTATATGTCCAGTTGATGATTATGAGGATGATAAGCCAACTAACTATAGTGAACGCTACTCTGAGGAGGAACAGCATGAAGAAGAAGATCATCCAACTAATTATAGCATAAAATACAATGAAGAAGAGCACCATGTAGATCAGCCGATTGATTACAGTCTCAAGTATTCGACAGACGTTCCTCCTTCTGCACAGAAGCCATCTTTTTCTTTTTCAAAGAGCCCTTCAGTACAGAGTACTAAAACGGATCATATTTCATCAAGTAGTGGGAATACATCAACCTCGGCTGGCTCAAAGAGACACAACCAGCTTCATCCAAATTCTGCTCAAAGTAGAGCCGGTCACACCCAGAAGTCTGCGTCCTGCAAAGCACCCTCCATCAACCAGGAAACAATACAGACCTATTGTGTAGAAGATACACCGATATGTTTTTCAAGATGTAGCTCTCTGTCATCATTGTCATCAGCTGAAGATGAAACAGGACGTGAACAATCCACACGGGCAGGAGATACAGATAACTCTCTGAAGATAGCGGGGATGAAAGAAAATAGTAGGAGTTTGTCTGCAGCAGGTACTGTAAATGAAACCTCTTCAGCCTCACAACACATTAGAACAAAATCAAATAGACTTCAGGCTTCTAGTCTATCTCCTTCTGATTCAGCAAGACACAAAGCTGTAGAATTTTCCTCGGGTGCCAAATCTCCTTCAAAAAGTGGTGCGCAAACTCCTAAGAGCCCACCAGAACATTATGTGCAGGAGACTCCACTTATGTTTAGTAGGTGTACCTCTGTCAGTTCCCTGGATAGTTTTGAGAGCCGTTCGATTGCTAGCTCTGTTCAGAGCGAGCCTTGTAGTGGGATGGTAAGTGGTATTATAAGCCCAAGTGACCTTCCAGACAGTCCTGGGCAAACAATGCCGCCAAGCAGAAGTAAAACCCCACCCCCTCCACAAGCAACCCAAGTAAAGAGAGAAACGGTCAAAACAAAAATACCCACCACTGAAAAGAGAGAGTCTGGGCCAAGGCAAACAGCTGTAAACACAGCTGTTCAAAGAGTACAGGTATTGCAAGATGCAGACACTTTGTTACATTTTGCTACAGAAAGTACTCCAGATGGATTTTCTTGCTCATCAAGCCTAAGTGCATTGAGTCTTGATGAACCGTTTATACAGAAAGATGTAGAGTTGAGAATAATGCCTCCTGTACATGAAAACGACCATGGGAATGAATCGGAACTTGAACAGCCAAATGACACAAAGGATAATCAAGAGAAGAAGACAGAGAAGCCCACAGAGACTGAAAAGGATATCCTGGATGATTCAGATGAAGATGATATCGAAATATTGGAGGAATGTATTATTTCTGCTATGCCAACAAAATCTTCACGTAAAACCAAAAAGCCTTCACAGGTAACTGCTTCAAAAATACCTCCACCTGTAGCCAGAAAGCCAAGCCAGTTGCCTGTGTATAAACTTCTCCCTTCTCAAAGCAGATTGCATTCTCAAAAACATGTTAGTTTTACACCTGGAGATGATATGCCACGCGTGTATTGTGTTGAGGGAACGCCAATAAATTTCTCAACGGCTACATCTCTGAGTGATCTCACAATAGAATCACCACCCAATGAATTGGCTAATGCAGAGACAACTGGTACATTGATGGAACCGGCAGAATTCGAAAAGAGAGATACCATTCCCACAGAAGGCAGAAATACTGATGATGCTCAGAGAGGGAAAAAGTCAACTGGGACTACTATTGCATTGGATGATGACAAAGCAGAAGAAGGTGATGATATTCTTGCAGAATGCATTAATTCTGCTATGCCAAAAGGGAAAAGTCACAAACCTTTCAGAGTGAAAAAGATAATGGATCAAATCCAGCAAGCATCTACATCCTCATCAGTAGGTGCCAAAAATCAGCTAGAAGTTGAGAAAAAGAAACCAACTTCACCAGTAAAACCCATACCCCAAAGTAATGAGTATAGAGCACGCTTACGAAAAACCACAGAGCCAAAAAGTAATTTTAGTAGTGAAAGAACCTATACAGACAACAAAGAGACAAAGAAACAAAACCTTAAAAATAGCTCAAGGGACTTCAATGAAAAACTTCCAAATAATGAAGAGCGTGGAAGAGGAAGCTTTGCATTTGATTCCCCCCATCATTACACTCCAATTGAAGGAACTCCTTTTTGTTTTTCGCGTAATGACTCTTTGAGTTCTCTAGACTTTGACGATGAAGTAGATCTTTCCAGGGAAAAAGCAGAACTGAGAAAGGGGAAAGAAAGGGAAATTAAACCTAGTACCAATGCAGATCATCAGTCTGCAAGCCAGCAGTCTAGCAGTAGAATGCAAGCTTGCCAAAAACACACTCCAGCAGGAAGAAAGCAACCCAAAACTCTGGTGCAGAAGCAAACTCCATTCTCTCAGTCATCCAAAGATATTTCAGAAAGGGCTGCAGCTTCCGATGAGAAAACGCAAAATTTTGCAATAGAAAATACTCCTGTTTGCTTCTCTCGCAATTCATCTCTGAGTTCTCTCAGTGATATCGATCAAGAAAACAACAATAACAAAGAAAGTGAACCCAGAGAACAAATGGAACGATCTGATGCACAGATAGAACCAAGTAGACCACAAGTTTCTGGCTACGCTCCTAAATCATTTCATGTTGAAGATACTCCTGTGTGTTTTTCAAGAAACAGTTCCCTCAGTTCCCTTAGTATTGACTCAGAAGATGATCTTCTACAGGAGTGTATTAGTTCTGCCATGCCTAAAAAGAAAAAGCCTTCTAGAACAAAATCAGACAGTGAAAAAAATAGCTCTAGAAATATGGGAGGCATTTTGGCAGAAGACCTGACACTAGATTTGAAGGATATACAAAGGCCTGATTCAGAACATGGTTTCTCACCAGATTCAGAAAATTTTGACTGGAAAGCTATTCAAGAAGGTGCAAATTCTATTGTTAGCAGCTTACATCAAGCTGCTGCAGCAGCATCACTGTCTAGACAAGCCTCATCAGACTCTGATTCAATCCTTTCATTAAAATCTGGAATTTCCTTAGGATCACCCTTTCATCTTACACCCGACCAAGAAGAAAAACCTTTTACTAGTAATAAGGGTCCAAGAATTATTAAACCAGGGGAGAAGAGTACACTGGAAACAAAGAAAGTAGAATCTGAAAATAAAGGTATCAAAGGAGGAAAGAAAGTGTATAAAAGCATGATCACAGGTAAAGCTCGTTCTAATTCAGAACTTACAAGTCATTTCAAACAGCCTTTGCAGACCAATATGCCCTCAATCTCCCGAGGTAGGACAATGATTCATATTCCTGGAGTTCGAAATAGCTCCTCAAGTACAAGTCCAGTTTCTAAAAAAGGGCCTCAACTAAAGAGTGCAACCTCCAAAAGTCCTAATGATAACCAGACTTCTACTAGTTCTCCCAGAGTAGCCAAACCATCTGTAAAACCTGAGCCAAGTCCTATATCCAGGCAGCCATCTCAACAGGGTGGATCAAGTAAAGGACCTTCTAGATCAGGATCTAGAGATTCCACACCTTCTAGACCACAACAGCAACCCTTAACCAGACCTCTGCAGTCTCCTGGCCGAAATTCAATTTCACCCGGCAGAAATGGCATAAGTCCCCCTAATAAACTCTCCCAGCTTCCACGAACATCTTCTCCGAGTACGACTTCCACTAAGTCTTCTAGTTCAGGAAGAATGGTATACACCTCACCAGGCAGACAGATGAGCCAGCAAACTGTGGGAAAACAAACTGGGTTGCCCAAAAGTACCAGTGGTATTCCCAGAAGTGAATCTGCCTCAAAAGGATTAAACCAAATTTCTGGTATCAGCGGATCAAACAAGAAGTCTGATGTATCTAGAATGTCATCGGCAAAATCCAGTGGGAGTGAATCTGATAGATCTGAGAGACCTGTTTTGGTCCGCCAGTCAACTTTTATTAAAGAAACTCCAAGTCCCACTCTAAGAAGGAAATTGGAAGAGTCTGCCTCGTTTGAATCTCTGTCACCTTCCAGACCAGACTCTCCTACACAGTCCCAAACGCAGACTCCAGTTTTAAGCCCATCCCTTCCTGATATGTCTTTATCTACTCATTCAGCCATCCAAGCTGGTGGTTGGCGAAAGTTACCTCCTAGCCTGAGTCCTTCTTTGGAATACAGTGATGGGAGACCAACAAAACGGCATGACATAACTCGGTCTCACTCAGAGAGTCCTTCCAGGCTGCCAATTAACAGATCGGGGACTTGGAAGCGCGAACATAGTAAACATTCCTCATCACTTCCTCGTGTGAGCACCTGGCGTAGGACTGGAAGTTCTTCCTCAATTCTTTCGGCTTCTTCAGAATCCAGTGAGAAGGCAAAGAGTGAGGATGAAAAGCAACATGTAAGTTCTTTTTCTGGACTCAAGCAATCTAAAGAGAGTCAAGCGCCCACAAAAGGTACTTGGCGGAAGATTAAAGAGAACGAAATTCCTCAGATAATGACGAGTCCTCCTCAGAATACCTCACCAGGTGCTACCAATGGTTCTGATTCAAAAACTCTCATTTACCAGATGGCACCTGCCGTCTCAAAGACAGAAGATGTTTGGGTGAGGATTGAGGACTGCCCTATTAATAATCCTAGATCTGGAAAATCTCCCACAGGGAACACGCCCCCTGTTATTGACAGTGTTTCGGAGAAAGGGAATGTGAATAGCAAAGATCTTAACGGAAAACAAAATGCAGGGAATGGGAATGTTCCTGTTCGTACTGTGGGTTTAGAAAACCGCCTGAATTCATTTATTCAAGTAGATAGTCCAGACAAGAAAGGAACGGAAACGAAACCTTTGCTAGGCAACCCTGCCCTTGCCCCAGAGACTAGTGAAAACACTGTTAATGAACGTACGCCATTCAGTTCCAGCAGCTCAAGCAAACACAGTTCGCCCAGTGGTGCTGTTGCGGCAAGAGTGACTCCTTTCAACTACAATCCAAGCCCCAGAAAAAGCAGCGTGGATAATAGTTCCAGTTCCACTCGGCCATCGCAGATACCAACGCCAGTGAATAACAGCACAAAAAAACGAGATTCAAAGACTGAAGGTACAGATTCAAGTGGTGCCCAAAGTCCTAAGCGTCATTCTGGATCCTACCTGGTAACTTCTGTTTAACAAAGAATTTTCATGTGTTAATGCTATATGTGAAACTTTTTAATAAAACTATACAAAGTTGGGGTTTTTTCTTTTGTAAATAGCTTTGATTCTTGTAGAGGGTCCTTGTTCTGGAAGCCATATTTGATATTCTTTGTCTTCACTAATAATATTTGAGGGAGTCCCAATTTATTATTTAGCAATAAAATTGCTAAAGCGATTATATTTGTACAGTATGTTTTACATATATTTAATTAACATCCCATACCTTTAATTGTTTAGGTGGGGTGGGGGTGGGGGTATTCAGGAAAGATGAACAGAGATTAAAAGAGAGAAATCTATTGCTATATCACTCATTTCTAGATTTGCAAAATGACTAAACTACATCAGGGAGAAATTGGTATTTATGCAAAAAAAAAAAAAGTATTTGTGAAGCCACTTAACCTTATAATTAATCATGTGGCTGTGAAATTCACAGTAATATGGTTTCTGCTGAACAAGCCTGTTTTTTCTGCATGGATAGAACTGATGGTTCATTTTCTGAAATGATGATAAACATTTCTGTGGTCACATAATGTGCATAGATAGTTATGGTGTAATGATTTACCTTTTGGTTTTGTGCTCCAAAAAAAGAAGAAAAAAAAGGAAAATCTGTGTATGTGTAACACTTGAACAAAATTATTTTACCAGAACTAGATTTTAACTGACAGTAGGTAGGATTTTTGCTATGCTGTAACTTGTTGTATATTCTGGTATTTGAGGTGAGATGGCTGCTCTTTTATTAATGAGACATGGGTGAAGTCTCAACAGAACTAAATGAACATTTCAGAATAAATTATTGCTATATGTACATTTTGTTGTGTGTTACTTTTGCAGTACATAAGAAATCGATGTTTTAGTATTTTTGAGGAATATTCGTATTATGTATTAATGCACTTACTCAAGGCTTGTTGGGGATAATCTATATTACATTGAAGTCAGTAGAAATATTCACATCAATTTTAATGGATCTGGATTGCACCCATTGCCTGATACAGACACTGGTACTCTTCCAGTTTATAGTTGCTGTTAATAGACTCATGTATATCTACGGCATTCAAATCAAGCATTGGTGTTTTCAGTTGAGATTTTAATTGGTTCCAGGTACAGAAAGAGGCTTAAAGTAGTACTTCCACATATATATATACATATACATACACACACAGCTTAGAGTGCTATTTGGTGTACAAATAAGAGTTTTTCAGCTTTGAAAAAAATGGGGGAGGGGGTTAAGATTGGAAGCTTATTTCAAGTTTGTGGCATTTAAATAATAAAAAAGAAATTGGTAATACTTTGAGACTAATATACTAAATGCAAGTGTCTTATTAGAAAATAAGATTTGTACATTAAACCACACTAACTTTGGTTTAACTCTAACTAACTTTGTATTCACATATGCTTTGTCTTAAGAGACCTTCATTAGACTGTTTACAACAGAAGTACTCTGCTAAACTTAAGTGCCTCTATTCAAAAATAGCAAAATGCGTGTGCACGTGATTACAGTAGTAAGCAAGTCAGTTTTGTGTCTCAGGCTGGTTTTCATTATTAAAATCGCACATGTAATTGTTTAATAGAAGGGTTCATAATCTGCTGACAAATGTCCTCAGATACGCCATCTTAACCGTTGACATTGGGGCGGGGGTTCTTATCGTACGACACACTAGAGAAAGTGATCTTGTATCAGTTATAGTTTTCCAAAACCTGTTAAACTCTATATTAAGCTAAAATGATATTAACAAATAACATGCATTTTCAATCAGTTAAGCGGTCCGGTTGAAACATCAGACTTAAATCATGATTTACATTAAGAGGGCACAATGCAGCAAGCCTAGGGCCTACTCACTCTCCCCTATCCTCTGGCATGGGTGCAAGGAGGAAATAGGAAGCTTACACTTTTGCTTTTGATTAGCCACAGCTTAAGTGCGATATCCAAATCCTAAACTGGTAAATCTTAACTATGGTTAGTGAAAACAAGCCAGCTTTGTAAACTGTGTTTTGAAGTTGGCTTGTTTCCTCTACCCATCGTTAAGACTATTTACATCATTAAGACTATTTACACATTGACTGGGTTTGGCTGTCTAAAACAGAAATGACAATTTCTGCATTCTTCATAGCAGAATGCAAGGCCAAGGCTTTCTGTTGTTCATCCTTGTAACTGTAAACCATGGTTTAATATTAGATGCAAACACCTAATTTGACTCCCCCCCCCTTTAAAAAATGGCACATAGATTAGCTGATTAATCCAAAAAGGCTTTTAAAAAGCCGGTTTACAAGAGAGTAAAAATAAGTAAGCTTACAAATGGGATATCTCTTAATAAAAATTATTGTTTAAGAAAATACACACCTCCCTATTCCTGATTCTCTATCAAGACTACATGGGTGGGATTCACCTGACAAACCTCATCAACGGAAGCCCCACACAAGGGCTTACATCAGGCATGGCCAAACTTGGCCCTCCAGCTGTTTTGGGACTACAATTTCCATTATCCTTGACCACTGGTCCTGTTAGCTAGGGATGATGGGAGTTGCAGTCCCAAAACAGCTGGAGGGCCAAGTTTGGCTATGCCTGGCTTACACAATGGGGCTTCCCCCCAACCCACATGCCCCCCAGTTGGCTCAGGTGTGTGTGTCACGAGAACCCCCAGAACAACATGCACGTGGAAGGGAGCGGGAATTGATCTGTCTGATAAACTGATTCACTTGTGCAGGCGAACATTCGTCTTAGTGTGACATTGAATTCCACTCTATGTGTATTTATTACTTATACTTTTTGCCTTTTTAAATGGGCATATATAGTGGGCATACCATATTGGTAGACTATCTTATGTGGATTGATCCCTGCCTATCTTACAGTTTTTATGATACATTTATGTATCTGTTTCGGTGTAACTTATGTACCACATCCAATATGGATTAATCAATAGGATCAGAATTTGTTCATATATATGATTCCCTTCCATTTCCCTTCCCACAGCTGTTAAAATGGGGAGCACAGCTAGGGGAAATCCCACCAAAGGGGTTGCATGTATCCTCTGTTGTTGACTACCAGGCTTGAATGGCTACTTGACGTCACTGATGCTCTTAAATTTGTACTTGCTAATTACTGCTATTTTTACTTCTAATGAATTTAATCACTAGTTTATAGGTCTGATGCACCACACAGTATGGGCAAAGCCAAGTCAAGAAACTCAAAGCATCTTCTTTTCAATTCCATTTGACACTCCTAAAGCTTTTCTGCTTCCACCCTGAGCTTTGGAACTGAAATTCTCCATTCCTTTGATTAGCTGTGAGTCACTGTACAAGCCAAGAGCTTTCTTTTCTGTAATTAAATTCTGACTTCAACTGAAATAAAATGAAATTAACTAATAATTTGATAAGATTAATTTCATCTTTTTTTAAGCCCAGGAAAACCAGAAATGTGCAAAGTGTCATGTTCAACTTTTTCTTTTTTTACAATAAGTGTACCTTTAGTTTCAATGTATGCGGCATACAGACATATTTATTTTAAGGCTGTGACCATATCTGTATTTTAAGCCTATTATTGCCCATACCTTTCCTTTTAAGATTATTCATTGAACTGTGATTAACTTGAGTCTTCAATGAAATAATTTATTGTTGCAAGTTATGTACTTTATACTTTTTCAGAAACCTGTAAACTATGCTTTACTATTCATAATGTAATGTCAGTATTCTGATACATTTTCATTTCTCTGACAAACCCACCGTAACTTAAGATCTCTGAGGTAGTTGTTTTCAAAGTAGTATTTCTGACTATTGACATGTCTGAGAAGTTAACTTGAATTTCTATGTATATTTTTAATGTATGAAAATGAAAAAATTAAAATTTGAACTTTTGTGTTTAACAGAAATTAATTCATAACTGTATAGTTGAATGACTTCAAGGTTAGAGTTCTCAGTTTTTCGGTGTTGCTCATGGGTCATGTACATAAAAAGCTTCCAAAGTGAGCATGTTCAGTCCAAAAACCTTTATGTATGTGTTACATGTAAATATACAGCAAACTGCCATTAATAAAATCCAAGATATTTAGGTGTGTCTTTAATAAGTCACCTTAATTCCTTCTTAAGCCAGGTATCATTGTATAGACAAACAATTGCAAATTCAGTAGTTTGCTCTGCTTCTGCTTTGTGTTAGGTGTCGGCAAGAATGGATATTTGAACAGAATTAGACTATGTAAAATGGAATCTGAGGATGATAAATAAATTCTATTTGATAGGGCAAGATAGTTAACAAACCCAGTGGAGATCTTTGCTTAACATGTCAACTTTCAGAGCTCGTCTCAATCTTCAGGGCAATATTAATTTTACAGTGTCTGTATTAACTGTCAAGCAAGCACACTTTTCAAGAATACATACCACATTTTCACAGCTTAGAGTTAATAAATGTGTATGGACAATACATTTGTCACTTGTCTGTCGCCCTCTTTAAAATGTTCTTCTCTGGACCAAAAGGTAGTGAGTGACAGCTTTTAAGTGGAGAATCCCGTGGTGTTTTTTTTATATATATATAAAACAACAATCTTTTTGATGTAGCCTCTTTAAGCTTCTTGATGGTGACCTTTATGATGTATCCTCAATCTTGAGCCAAGAAGGGATGTTAAAGGCCCTGTACACAAGCCGCCTCCTGAAAAAGGGCTAAAATACTAACATGGCCAAATGCTTTTTCTTTTTTAAAAAAACAAACCAATAAATAAATAAACATCTGTGTGAGTGTATGATTTTGTAATTAATTTGTTCGTATATTAATTTGTTCCTGGACTTTATTTTTAGAGCACTTTTCACATTTTCCTTTCAGTTTCTCTTCTCCAAACTGTGAATCAATAGCTGCATGTTTAGTTGAGCATGCTTACACATCACAGCTCCTTGTCAATATGCCTTTACTATCATTTGTTCATTACAGTGAAATATGGAATTAGACCTAGAATTAGATCCATTAAAGATACGAAGATGCCAACAGAAATGGAACAGTGTATTGCCCTAAAACACTGTTAGTGGGACGCCATATTGCATTTACCTTTTTTCTGATTCAAGTAGGTTTGCCCATTCATGCTAATGGGAGATATGTGCATGCTTAGCATTATAATCTTTGCACCAGGGTTAAACTTGGAGCTCACAATTTGTGATCAGATAATTCCTAGGTGTTTTCACTTTTGCTTCCTGCATTCTATTTTACGCAAAACCTTTTTGCAATTTAATTCTTATTTCTGAAGTTCTTGCCGTTCCTCCCAGCTTTATGTCATCTGAAGTTTTTTCTTTCTTTCTAAATTATGTGTTTTACCATAAAACCAACATACGGTCTGATTCCACCTGTACCCCAATTTCTTATATACCAACAGTTTTACAGTGAGGTGTAACTTGTTTCATTTTAAATGCATTCTTTCAGCTTAAATTGTGTTGATTTAAGATTTTGAGCCACTGACAGATGTTCTATCAAAGGTCTTGTTAGCATGATCCTATGTTGGGATTTAAAATGAAAATTTTGTTTTGTTCTGTATCCCCTTACTCTAAAGAGCATGGCTTCAGGACTCCTGGAACAGAAAACAAAATGGGGAAAATCATCTTCAAATACCGTTCGATGTTTAGGAATTTTCTTATACAGAGCCATAATACTGGTTCCATCTAGTTCAGTATTGTCATTGGTGACCTGTCTGCAGTCGGTATTTTAGACGAGGGTCATTCCCTTACCAGGAGATTGAACCTGTGAGCTTTCTGTAAGGTATGTGTTCTATCATTCAGCTACTGCCTTCCCAGGCTCTGTTGCTGGAAATAGTAATAACTACAATCTAGACAGAATTCAGTGGGAGAGATTTAAGCACATGTGTATTCCTTCCATTGAAATCTCGGGCAGTCTAATATTTAGGTTAGATCAGTGGTTTCCATACTTCCCCCCCATGGACTCGAAAATTGCTGAGGGCCTTTGCAGACCACTTATTTTTGCTTTGTAGGTGCTAGGTGCTGTATGGTTTTTAAATGTATCTTTACAGAAACACCATTGAGGACATGGTTCACAGACCACTGTTTGGGAATTCCTAGATAATGTCTCAACATTTGAAATTTAAAAAACCCTACAATTTCAGTATAAATATTAGGCATCAGCTATAGTTGATGAGCAATATTTATATTTAAAGCTTGATGACCTTTGCAGAAAACATTCACATTGAGTTTAACTCCACTACCAGAAAGCTGGATTCACTTAACATACCTAAAACACATTCCACCCTACTTACCCTTTTCTGAGATTCCGCAGTCCAAGGAACATCCTTTCCCTATGACCCACACTGTGTACGCTTCCTCCCCCCTATTTTGAATTCTAATGTTAGGATGAGGTTGCTAGTTCCCAATATGCTCAGGTTTGTTGTGCCTACAGTCGTACCTTGGTTTTCAAACGCTTTGGTACTCGTACATTTTGGCTCCCATACGCCGCACACCCAGAAGTAAATGTTCCGGTTTGCGAACTTTTTTGGAAGCCGAATGTCCGACATAGCTTCTGCTTGACTGCAGGAAGCTCCTGCAGCCAATCGGAAGCCGCACCTTGGTTTTTCAACCGTTTTGGGAGTGGAACGGACTTCCGCAACGGATTAAGTTTGAGAACCAAGGTACGACTGTATTTTGGGGAGCAGACACTGGGAAACTGTCAGGTCAGGTATACAGACTGTTTGACATTTCTTTAAATGAGCTTCCTAATGACAGCAAAAGTCTAGGGAGTGGTCTTAAAATCCTTAACCTGCAGGGAAATCCAAACCATTGCCACTATTACATCATTCCCTTCCAAAAGATAAAAAATTAGTTATTTTATGTAGCATTGAGGTTTTTTTTCATATCTCGAGGTTCTGGAGCTCATATAGCTTTTCCTCCAATCAAGAAATATTCTGTCTGTGCACATGCAAATGTAGTTCTGCTTGGAATCGACTAAAGACTCAGCTGTATTTCTCAGGACTGATCTGCTTTTTGTTGGGAGGTGCCACCACTCTGTCTATATAATCCCTTCCTGTCCCATCTGTTAATTGATCCGTGTTACAAGCTTCTCTTAGCCATTCGTGCCAGATGAATGAATGTTAATGACCGCCTTAGGCAATTCAGCGCTTTCCAGAACTCTTGATGGGTGTTTGTATGTGTTGGGAAAACTAGGGAGCAGAGCCTTGCACACCCATTCTTCTTACAACATTGTTTTCAGAAATCTTAACCTAAAATATATAGTCTGACTGTACATAGAGTATACTATTCTCTGCTTGTTAAGGGCTATTTCCCATGTTGCTTTTCCCTATTTGTGTTTTGAGAATTCTAGGATACAGAGTTGCCTGGAAAATGGCTGAAGGCTTGTACAGTCATACCTCAAAAGTTGAACAGAATCTGTTCCGGAAGTCCGTTTGACTTTAAAAATGTTCGGAAACCAAAGCACAGCTTCTGATTGGCTGCAGGAAGCTCATGCAACCGATTGGAAGCCGTTGGATGTTCGGCTTCCAAAAACAGTTTGCAAACCAGAACACTCACTTCCAGGTTTGCGGCGTTTGGGAGGCAAAACGTTCGAGAACTAAGCTGTTCAAAAACCAAGGTA